TCGGAAAGTCCCCATGGTTCATCGGCCGTTACGTGAGAGCGATAAAGTAAGTCATAGAAATCCGTGCGATAGAGAAGGATGGCTATAATGAAGGCGTCTCACAGTCACCGCCCGTTTCGCCCTTCCACAAATAAGATCCACTTCCACTTTCAGCAACCGGTGGTCATATTTGTTTTCGGCGTTTGCCTTTTCTTTAATAGCTGTCACTACTTATACAATTCCGACTCCGGTATTCCGATATGTTAATACAATCCGTTAACAGTGGGCAAAGTATACTTAAATAACAACTAAATGAACTTTAAATGCAGCTGAGCACTATACTCCATTTGCATAACTTCTCAATACGGCAAACAAGATCACTAGATTTACAAACAGAGGTATCTACTAGCTACTGTAAAAAGTTTTCTTTGTTACGCGTTGTGCTGCCCTCTGTTAACGGATTGTATTAACATACCGGAATACCGGAGCCGAAATTGTATAAGTAGTGACATCTATTAAAGAAAAGGCAAACGACGAAAACAAAGATGACCACCAGTCGCTAAATTATAAGTGGAAGTGGATCTTATTAAGGAAGGGCGAAACGGGCGGTAACTATGAGACGCCTTCATTATAGCCATCCTTCTCTATCGCATGAATTTCTTTGACTTACTTTATCGCTCTCACGTAACTGCCGATGTAGCATGGGGACTTTCCAACCTGTATAGATAGTATGTATATGATTTGAACCGAAAAACAGAAATGTCGAAAATGTCAAAATTGTCAAACGTCAAGAAGTAACAATTGTGTTTTCTATTTTATCTGTCATAAAATACTTAAAACTAAACACTAAAGGAAGTCTAATGTTTTTTCCATATATTTTTTACCATAATACCTAAAAACAAGGAACGGACCTTATTTGAATTGAAATTTGCTAGTATTGAAGAAGAGTTTCTAAAACCTGTGACATAATTTTTATATCAATGTTTTAATTTTAATGTACGGTAATGGATCTAAATAAATGCAGCCCTATAAAAACTGGACAAGGTGAATATATTCATACTTCAATAGATATCTTATTAATTATCTTTGCTGTTATCAGTGAATAATGTTGGAGATAACGATGAGCCATATCCAAGTCTTTCAGATTATCACGACTACGAACCTAATCTTGAATTTGATGATTCAGAATTGCATCAAACACCAGACGCAATTGCTCATACAGGTAAATAAATACACACACAGGAAAACAAAACATTAATAGCCAAAGGAGAGATATGTTATCTGAGCTTTTAGTTAGTATTTCATTGGTTCATATGAAACTTTGTCCTTTAAAAAATAATTAAAAGAGCATAAAATTTATATTGAAAGTAATTTTTTAACAAATTTGTAGTACTATTAAGAGATTACATTTTGTGAAAAAAATTTTCATATCTACGCAATTATAAGTAAATACATCTGTTTTTCAATGTATCCACGTATTTTCCTAATTACATACGTAAAACATTTTAATATTTTAAAGTACTTTATCAAAAAGACCTTTGCATATTTTTCTTTATTTGTCTTGAATTGAATGCTTTGTAACAAACCTATGAATGTTTTGTATAATTCTTCATTATATGGACATGGCCCCACTAGAGGCTACAGTGTTTCTAATGGTCCCTGGTATACCTCTTAGGTAGGTTCCTTGATGCTGCCCCAATAATTCCTTCAAACACAAAGAAAACATTTTTTTCGTAAAATGTTTTTAAAAAGAAAAACCACATTTATTATTGCAGTTATTTACTATTATTCTTGAAGTATGATGAAATTGTTATTATACTTAATGACAATGTTTCAATTTTCAATAATGTTAATCTTTTAAATCTGATAAGATAGGATAAAAATATAAGTTGTTTGTTTAGAAATATGGTAAAAATTAAAGGGAGCCACGATATGGTATCAAACATTAATCTTTTAATAATATAATAGTTAAGAGGTTTGGTTTTGTATGGTTGTTTAAATGGGTATGTTTCTTTGTTAATTGTGTATGTTACCTATAATGATTATTTACTGATAAAATTAATATAAGGGCTGAATTCATATAACTGACTGAAATATATCATATGTATCTAAAGTTTTACTTGCCAAAAAGTAATACACAAATATAATTTATTATTTACAGTTTTTGTAGTATAATAAGTTCAGTGTACTCTATTGAATTTCATTAAGTGATGTTTGACATTTCTACAACTACAGAATTTCACAAAATTTTCATTTCTATAAAATATTTATTAGAACATATCTACATATAAATAGTTGTGATACCAAGAATTAGTTAAGCAGAATAAAAATCTAAATGTAAGGTACAACCTATTTATGGTATCTAAATGCAGTATGTCCTGAGAGAGTAATCAAGAGAGAAAACATTTTTATTTTCTATTGTACATAAAAAAAGTCAGTAGATTGTACAAGAGCGAAGATGATGTCCATATCGCACGAGAACGAAGCTTCAACACGACGCCATAGGTGAAGTGCTCAATCGTTAGAGTACGATATGGACAATCTGCTCGAGTTTTAAAATATATTTTTCCTACGATCCGATCCATCAAAAACAAAAATAAGAAGATTAAAAAAAAATTAAATAACAACATACAGCATTTTAAAGCAATTTAATGAACACTTTCACTTACTCGATACCGGCAGAAATGCATTCACTTCGTCCAGCAACATTTAGCTAAAACATTTTCTTAAAGCCTCTGATATTAGGTATCTAGAAGCTTTACTGCTCTGTTATTTAAATTTTAATAAACATACTGACAACTTTAGCAAGTACATATTCTCGATTTGGAGCCTCCAGTAAAAAGTTTTTTATTTCTTCATGTTAAGATTTTGGATTTCTCAGATTTGTAGCCTGCCGATTGTAATTTCAGGAAAGATCTCAACTTAGGGTACTTATATGGAAATGTCTATGTTGTTTTTAATATTTATCATGGTTTTCAACATTGAATATGTTATCCAAAGGGTTGACGATTTAATTTCAATTGATAATTTTTTCATATAGGCAGTCACAACATTCTTTGATATATTTTTTATACCATATGTCAATGACCGCGTCATTAAAATTTATTGTAACAATATTCATATTTACCTTTAGTCAAGGAAATAAAGCACAAAAAAAGCCGAAATCTCCGAAATTTTTCGATCAAGTCGTATCAAGATGGGGTTTTCTGCATTTGCTTTCTAAAATTATGTGGAAAAAATGTATCAACTTTGTATTATGTTTTTCGGCCAAATTGCATTTGTGCAGTGCAAAATGCATCCGGAAATATGCATTTTTAATGTCACTTAAAAAAAATTCATAACTCGGTTAATAATGCCTGGAATGGACTCAAATCAGAGTCTTGGGGGTTTTCGAGGTTACTGATCCCGAATATGACCTTAAAATAGGTCCATTACCGACCTGGAGCTTAGGATTGATGAAGAACGTCATCTCTGAGGCTTCTGAATTTCACTCTTAAATGCAACGAGACTTGACACCCGGAGGGCACCCCCCAGACACCTGGTGCACCGGCACCTGGACATGGATGTCATCTCCGGGAGTATTCCTGTAAAAAACGAGTCGAAAATCGCATCAGGGGGTTTTTCAAGGCGTTCTTCTCGAAATTATCTTATGATATGACGCATGCACGACTGTGGGCCCCAAGACTGGGGCCCTCAAAAAACTACCCGGGCCCTATACGTCAGTTGATGGTGAAAATGATATTTAGTAGAATATTTTCAAATTAAAGTTAAAAGTTGACTAGATTAGGATAAACTGGAGTTAGATTATATTCGAGTTAAATTAAATTGAAGTTAAGAGTAGGTTAGAAAGGGCAATTGATTTGGAAATAAATGATTTTGATTTGTTTTTGAAACAACACTTGCACACATTGTGACATTCATTCAATTTATACCCTCTATTTTCATCTTGCATACCTTAAATGAGATCAACAATTCCAAACAAGTTATTACAGTTTTAGTGGTAGTCTCAAATATATTGAAAATTCACTGTTTATTGACACCAGGTGTCCGGGGGGTGATCGCCGACGCCAGATTCGAGAAGAGCGCCCCGAAAAAACCCCTGATTCGATTTACAGAAAAACTCCCGGAGATGACGTCCATGTCCAGGTTCCGGTGCACCAGGTGTCCGGGGGGTTCTCGCCGCCACCAGATTAGCCTGGGAGTTGACGTTCATCATCAATCTTAAGCTTCAGGTCGGCGATAGACCAATTTGAAGGTCATATTCAGGATCAGCGACCTCGAAAACCCCCAGGATCCTGATTTGAGTCCATTCCAGGCATTATTAACCGAGTTATGAATTTTTTCTAAGTAACTTTAAAAAATTAATTTTTCTGGATGCATTTTACACTGCACAAATGCAATTTGGCCCAAAAACATAATACAAAATTGATAGATTTTTTTCATATAATTTTAGAAACCGAATGCAAAAAACCTCATCTTGATATGACTTGATCGAAAAATTTCGGAGGTTCAGTGCTTTATTTCCTCGACTACTTTTGATTTCTGGTGTAATAATGCTTCATATGTTTCATTTGCCGCATCTCGACTGTCATGTGGAGTGAAATTTATTGATTCTGCACTAGAATCATTCATTTTAAATATTTTCTTTGGTAAAATGTAACGATGTAGGTACGCTAATTTGATAACTTATGCTCTAATTTTAAATTTAAAAATGACATTTAATTTTATTCTTAACTCACACTGTGATTGGTGGATTTCATATTTCATATCCCACTAGTGTGTATATGAATTATATCAGTTCAGTCGACTGATATTGTCTACCAAACCATTTAGCAAGTTGTAAAGAAAACAGTGAATAAACTTGTGGGAGTAGGAAAACATTTGTTAAAACAAGAAAGTCATTTAGGATTTCATGTCACAATTCTAATTTATGGATAAATCAGTTTACTACAATTGTTCTAAATTAAGGATTGTCGTTGCCTAATGCAGTCCCAAATGTTAATTGAGCTAATAATTTACAAATTTTTACAAAATCACATTCACAAAATGTTTATAAAATAATTTTCAATCGCCCCAAACAATTATAGACTGGGGCATCGACAGATTTATTTTTTCAAACAAAGAATTTTTGTAAGAAGAAAAAAGCCATCAATAGCCGACGAAAATGAAATATGATTCTTTTTGTGTCCCTTGCCCAAAGGCATTGTTTTCATTATTTGATTCATTTTACATTACTTCTTTTATTTCAGAATAATTAAAGTAGGCTAGTTTATCCATAAAAAATTATGACATCTAATTCTAAACAATTTTCCTTAATAGTATTTTTCTTGTTAAAAACAAGGGTAGTTTACTCATATTACTTGATAACTGTATGAATAATATATTTTAAGATAAATAAATATATAGTATTAAATTTGTATTTTAAAATTCAGTGATTTCTTTATCGTATTTAAGGGAATTCTACAAGGTTACCTTTTATCAATTATTTTATCAAAATATTAACAAAATTGTAGTGGATGAAGTTGCAAATTTTATTAATGTTTAAAATGCAAAATTTACTCATTGGTGAAGTACCTAACTCCTTACAGTTTTAAGAACATAACAAAATATGTATTAGTGTTTGAAATTTAATGATATTATGTCCTATTTCTGTTTTCTCGAGTTAGTTTTAGACAAGGCTTTATAATGTTTTTTGTATTAATGGTACAATGATATTTTAATTGCCATAAATGACCACTGACCGTTGGTCAAAATTAGTCATATTTTGATGAAGTGTTTTTAAGGGGGGATTTTTAGACTCGCATAGAAAATTACCATTTGTCACTGTAATATAAAAAGAAATTTTGCTATTAACTGACTATAAATACTTTATATTCCTGTAACATTTTATAGGGAATTCTGCCAAAGGAAAGAACCCTATTCTATATTAATGTTTCATTATAATAAATTTATTTACAAATAAATAAATATTTAAATTATAAAAGCGAAGCAAACTATTTTGTTGAAAATATATTTTGATTTGTTTATTTAATTATATTTCATTTCATACATTTCAGTTTTAAATTGGCCTGACCATTATGAATTATATTTTATTTACAACCATACCTGTAATTTTGACATTACTAATGTCATTGAAGGTTTGAAAGTGTCACATTACCTACGTCTACTTCCCTCTTCCATTTCCCTCACCCATTTCCCTCACTCGTTCAATAAAGCAAAATATTTATTTAAGTAATATATTTGTTGAACAAATTCTAATATAGAAACAACAGGGCAATTAATTAACAACAATAACATTTAAATAATTTATCATATATTATTAAAATTAATGGTAATATTTGACTTATTATAGGATTTAACCGAAATATTTAAAAGACCTCCCTGATGATTTGAAATTTCATTACTAGAAAATGTTATTTCATGTCCACTGTCAGATCCCGTGAAGTTAACAGCAGGAGGTAGAGCGTTTGAACTGGTACAGGAGGACGATGGCAAAGTTGTTGAGGATATCATATTTGCGGTTTTAATTTGGTTAGCTACAGATTCATCCACATAACTTTCTGCAACTGTACTAGACCGCCAGCCCCCTAAGCGCTTCAACTGAAGAATATCTGCTCCGCTATTAACCAGCAACGTAGCTGCCGTTCTTCTAAAAGCATGACCTGTGTACGTTTCTGCCTTAGGAAGTTTTAAAAAGCAGGCTATTTTATAAGGAAATTTAGAGATAGAATTGTATCCAAAAGGCTGATTTCGAGCTCTTCCCGATCGATATTGAACAAAAAATCTCTCATTTTTTATATCTTTCCGTACCTGGATAAATTCTTTCACAATTTTTATCCAGTTTATTTCAGTGATCATGAATGATCTACTTTTATAAGTTTTTGTATCCGGAATTTCAATAGAAATTTTCTTTTCTAATATATCAATATGCGTAGTTTTCATTTTTAATAATTCATCAGTGCGGCATGCTCCAGATACACCTATTATAAGCGCAACCTAAAATAATTATAAAAAATAATTAAAACCAAATAGAAACAATTAAAAAGAAAATTTTACCTTGATAGGAAGGAATTCTTGGGGTGCTTTGCTTAGAAAATCTTCTATATTTTGTCTGGTAAAGGTAGTAGATTTCTTGGGCCTAAAGCCTATATTCTGGCGTTTCAAAAAAGCAAGGAGCTTGTTATATTTAGATATATCAATCTTCTCTCGTAAATCTAGCATGGCCCGTAACATGCTGTAGATAGCCCAAAGAGTAGAGGGCTTTTTTTGCTTTGCCATGTCACTAAAATATGCCATCAAGACTGTTTCTGAAGCAATATTCTTAGTATTTTTTTCTAAACACCAATTTTCGTAAACCTTGAAGGCTTTTTCGTAACGCCCCCTGCTTTTTTTAGGAAGTAAACTTTGTTCTGCTTTTTCAGCAGCTTGTTTTAGTTCTGGTGGAGTTCCGTCTGGCAAATAATCTTCACTCTCGCTATCTGACAACATTTTTTCAGCCGCAAATTTGAAGGATCGAACGAGAATTCAAAATTGTTTGTATCTGTCATGCGTCGTTGCTAGGCATGGCCCTGCCACCTGTACATGTTTGTTCAACGCAACCTGCACAATTTTGAATGGTGTCAAAACAATAAAATGACGCATATTTTGGCATTTTTACATCATTTAAAAATATGAAATAGAATTTTCAACTAACGATGTGGTTGTAAATAAAATAGTATACATACCTCGGAGGGAAGTTTTCATTAATATCTCGAGATTATAGTTAATCTCTCGACAGTAATGAAACACTTCCCTCATCGGTATGTAATATACTATACCTTTAAGCGAAGGAGTTTTTCATTGTTTTTGGAAATTAAGCTTTATATCTCCCATTTTTAAAGCAGGTACTCAACAGTTATCCCATAAGCATCCTTAGTGTTATTCAAAAAGAATTGGTTTTGTAATTGTTAGACTTTATCCAATTCATCATAAAATTACAAGCAGATTCTATATAGGTATGCAGATTTCTCCAGGTCTTTGATAGGGTTAAGCATAATATTTGAATCCATAAGCTTTATATTCTTGGAGTTTATCTCTTCTGGATTGGATAAAAAGTTATCTTACAGAGAGACATCACATGGTTAGGTTTTGCAATTTCACATTCAACAAAACCGCAGCAGCGGCAGGTGTGCCCCAAGGCGCTCACTTGGAGCCTCTTTTTTCCATATCTATTTAAGCGATATTAACAAGTGTTTCTCCCATTGTAAATTTTTATTGTCTGTAGACAACTTGAAATTGTTTTCAATTAAAATTAATAGTTTTCTTTTTTGTTGTAACATTTCAAAATTTTAAATTATTGTACTTGTTCTCTTTATTATTTACATTCACTTTGATTGTAATTGTACGAGGGTGGTCTGAAAAGTTTCCGACCTAACAAAGATACAAGACATTTTTTCAGAATGTTTTTTTTTTATTTTTCAACATAGTCTCCTTGTAACTTTACATACTTCTCCCTCTCCATTTGACGAAAATCTCTGTCCTCTGAGCGCAATTTTTAGATGAGGGAACAAAAAGAAGTCACTTGGGGCTAGATCTGGTGAGTAAGGCGGATGGTCAAGCAGTTCAAACCGTAATTCGGGGATTTTCGCCATGGCAACCGCTGAGGTGTGAGACGGTGCATTGTCTTGGTGAAACAGGATTTTCTTTTTCTGCAAATGTGGCCGTTTTTCCGCAAGTTCTGCCTTCAGCTTGTCAAGTAATGATGTGTAGTATGCTCCTGTAATGGTTTTTCCTTTTTGAAGATAATCGATTAAAATAACTCCACGACTATCCCAAAAAACAGTCGCCATCACTTTCCCAGCCGAAAAAACTGTGCTTTGCTTTTTTTGGAGCCGTTTCGCCCTTTGCAGTCCACTGTTTGGACTGTATTTTTGTTTCGGGCATATAATGGTGTATCCAAGTTTCATCTACATTAATTAATCGGCGCCAAAACTCGGACTTATTGCGCCTAAACTGCGCCAACAGAGTGTTGGAAATGTTCATTTGAACACGTTTTAGGTCTAACGTGAGCAAACGCGGCACTCAACGCGCGTACAACTTTCTCATGTTTAAATGTTGATTTAATATGTGACAAACATGTTCTTTTGACATGTTCATAACCTCTGCTATCTCTCTCACTTTAATTCGGCGGTCGACTAGCACCATTTGGTGAACTTTGGCGATGTTTTCGTCGGTAGTTGCAGTTTTTGGACGTCCCGTGCAGAGTCCCCATACACAGAATCCAACTCATCTTTGATTTGCGTAGGTGTATTGCCTTTCAAAAACAAATATTTAATGACAGCTCGATACTCGATTTTGTCCATTTTCATAAAAACACTCACATCAACTCGCTCAAACGACTGTTACTTAACAACTGCACGTCCAAAACGGCTGAAACTTTGGTGAGTAACTGTCAACAGATGAACAACGAAATTCACTAGCTTTTATTTATGAGTGCTGCCATCTTCATGTTGAGGTCGGAAACTTTTCAGACCACCCTCATATTAATAGATCTGGCTCATAAATAAATATAAGTAATTTACCTTCTCTCACACGATCCTTTATTTATTAAAAAACAAAATTAGGTAATCACTATTTTAATCATTTGTTACTCATTTCATTTTTAGCTGAGTTAATCCATATTGAATCGAATCGAATGAGTTCCCCGGTGTGTGAATTTACAGAAGATAACTTTGAAGAGGAATTAGCAGAAGCCTGCGAGGAAAATTTTGACAGTTTATTTTGTTCGACTTCTTATCCAGAAGTTGGCGATACATCACCAGAAAAATTTGCGGATATATCTAAATATGGAATAGTTGACGTAAAAGGTGACGATTCAGATGGAAGGAAAATAATTGTCGTATATGCATGTAAATTACCTCCTGTTAAGGAAATTGATCATACTTTATTCTTAAGGTAGGTACCTTATTTAACTTATTAACAACTTTTATTTATTTTCATGTAAAATGTTAATCCAAATTTTACTGTGAATGACAATTAAAAAAAAAGTGAAATAATATTAAATATTAAATAGTGAGTTCTATTGAAACGAAAAAATGTCATGGTGTGAAATTGGCAAAACGCCAACCAAAATGATAAGTTATGCATACAATTTTACAATTTATTTGTAGATGGTTAAACTATGTTAAACATTAATCATCCTGCATAAGAAAGAGATATAAATATTTCTGCAGGCACCGACAACTATTTTTTTTTAATCGAATTTTGAATTGACGGGACATAGTGATTGATATATCTTATGAAATGCGTTTTTCCTGAAAATGACTGATGGTGATATATTTTCATTGACTGTATGATAAAAATTTTTAATTATACAGGGTGTCCCACTAAGGTCGGCGAGGTACAATATTAGAGAAAGTATATTTTATTCTATTTCACTTTTTTAAGGAAACGTGAAACAACCTAAACTTGGATAAATAGCGCCAATAAATAAACTACACTTATGTTAGAAATTTCTAACTTATACTATACTCATCAATTTTTTGTGCTGAATTCGTTTATGTAAAGAAAACTATAGCATTGCATTTAAAATTGTTGAAAAAAATTCACAAAACGGCATTCTTTTGAAATAACGCCATCGCCAACAGTTTCCATATTGAGGTAAATGACATTACGCATTCACCACGAGTTAAAGCATGAAAAGACCTTTTCAACCATGAGCTTTTGATGAGTCAATGCTTAAAAAAATTAATTTTTCTGATGAGACATTAGGTGCTTCCCCCATCATTTCTGTCAAGAGATAGAAAAAAATGTCAATAACAAAAGTTATACGCAATGAATCCGGCTATCTATTTTTTACGATTTAATATACCTGAATAAGAAATATTTCTGAGAAAAATTCCTACTTATGTTTTGGTATGTAGATTGCGCCCCCTAGCGGCCAAGCTTCGAACTTGAAAACTATTTCCAACGATTTCTCTTCATTGATTTATTAATGAAATAAAAAATTACTACAATTAGAGAAGTTTTTATCTGCACTTTCTTCTACAAAATGAAATTGTCTAAAGTTATTTTGCAGAACAAAACTTGCTAAATGTTTCAAACTAAAAATTTTGCTTTTTCAAATATGTAAAAGTACAGTGTTACAAAAAGTAGGTTAAATCATCAACTAATATTCTTCCAAGGTACTGGCTTTTTTGAAAAACTTTTTTATCTTTTTTCGCTGTTTTGAAATTTTGATTTAGGGCTTGGTTTACTAGATATTGTAACTTCTTTGTATATGTAATTTGACCGATCCCTCGCTGTTTTTTTAACTACCTATTTTTTCAAGCTGTACAAAAATTTCCTTAAATGGTACTGATTAAGATATATTATAGATGTAGGTTTACACACTTTTCATCTGGTGCAAATATGAAATACATTTCATATTTAAACCTACAGGTTTAACTAAATTATAAGATAAAATTCACTTATCTCATGTTATACACTGGTGCAGTAGTCGGATAAGTTACAAATCACCTATTCCCATTATTTCTTTCATCAGATGTAAATTTAATTAATTTAATAAATTTATATTCATGCACCATAAATTATTCTATTGGGCATATCATCATTATTTCATGAATATTTCATTCTAATTCAGATACAAATATTTAACTAAATGATGACAGCAGCAGCTAAAAAAAGAAGTTTTTTATTTTGCCCCTCCTGAGTGATTTACGTATTGATATTGTGCTCAGTGTTCTAGGATTTTCTATTGTTAAATGAAATTTTAATCAGATTTTTAAAGTTAGATTAAGTAAATTGAAGAGAGAGATTAACTAAAATTCTTGCGATCACGAGTTCAAAATACATAACTTTGTCAGGCCCAAAGCATAGCATAAACAAAATGGTTCTCATGGAACATCTCGAAAATCAAGCTCTATATATGTTCGTATTTAGATGCCAGCAAATACTTACAGAAGTATTTAATAGTGTAATTGTTTTTATAATCAGCTTGCAAAAGGTTCCGACTAAATCTTTGAGGTGCCGAAATTTCTAAGAAAGACCCTGAGGTCATAAACAACTGCCTTGCTTCTGTTATTGCTAATTGCCTCGAACACGTGTGCCATTACTCTTGGATTATATTGTTTCTAGGAAATTTTGCACTCAGTTACTAAACGCACTATAGGCACCTATAGTGTATTATCAGTCGTAAACCTACTTTAAAACTGTCAAGATGGCCAGTAAAAGAAAAGCGTTATGTGTTAACGAAAATGTTTATTTGATACGTGCGATAGAAAAAGGAGAAAAGAAAAGTAATGTTGGAAAACGTTTAGGCCTCAGTCCATCTACTGTTACTACCATTTGGAAAAACAAAGAAGCAATTCTACAGGCGGAACTGCAGGGAGTGTCTACTAAAAAATTAAGGAAGCCAAAAGTCTTCGAGACTTAGATCAAGCAATGTTGTCGTGGTTTAACAATCAGCGCCATAATAATGTACCCATCTCGGGCCAATTGTTAAAGCCAAGACTGAGAAGTTTGCCGAAGTATTGGAAATTATTGTAATTGGTGAAATTTGGTTATTTTTCCTTCTTCCCACTATACAGTGTAGGAAAGTACTGATGGTCTATCAGAAGTTACGTGAGAGCGATAAAGTAAGCCATAGAAATCCATGTGATAGACAAGGATGGCTATAATGAAGGCGTCTAATTAGTCAACGCGAAATGGGCGTTGACTAATTAGACGCCTTCATTATAGCCATCCTTGTCTATCACATGGATTTCTATGGCTTACTTTATCGCTCTCACGTAACTTCTGATAGACCATCGGTACTTTCCTACACTGTATAACAAAAACTCTTTATAACGAAAAAGAATCCCCGGTCCCTTAAGATTCATTAAAAAGAGTTTACACTGTATTTAACAAAAACTTTCTTTTTTTTTGGAATCTTTTAACATCCTGTATATGAAAAAGAGAGATGTAAATGGAAAATTGTATAAAATATATTTTCCCCAAAGAGGAGTTAATGGTTTGATCTCTACTTTTTTTGTAAACTATATATACAGGGTGTCCTGTCCCTGCAATAGTTATTAAATTATTTGAAAAAAACTAGGTTATCTCTTCTATATTTACACCAAGTTTCACAATTTGTGGTTAACTTGTAGTTAATTTCTTACGAAAGGTTAACTGCAAGTGAGCTGTTTCATGACATCTGGTTAACGTCAATGTCTTGGTTATGTCATGATAAAGATCACCAGAACATGAGGTGTAATTGAAAATTACGAGGTAAATGCTTACATTAGCGATGAGGAGGTTAGGAGACCACGAATTTTCAAAGGTCAAATTTTTTTGAAGAATATGACCCAAAAGACTTTTTCACAAGATTTAGGGTTTTCCCACGTACAGTAGAAAATTTATTAGAAGAAATACAGGATATTATTAATCACCGTACGCAAAGGTACATGTTCTATATTTCTATATATTTTGAAAATTGCAGTACCTAATTTTTTTATTTTCTTATGTAGAAATAACTATCTCAATGCCAGAGAACAGCTACTTTTGACATACATTTTTTTGCCAATGGATCTTTTCTAAGAACCTCCCTAGATTTCTGTGAAATAAAGCCATAGCAAGTAGAGTCGTGAGAATTATTATTCTTATTATTTCACTTATCTTCCATGCTAAAAAGTTTAAAAGCACAGTATATTTTCTTCTAAATTTTGTCACTTGTCTATTGGAATAAATTCGTAATAACATTCTAAAAATCAGCTTAACCCCAGGTTGGCTTACTTGAAGACATAATGGCTGTTGTGAAACAGTTCAATAATTGTTTAACCACAAGTTAACTCTTGGGTCAAGGTTACCTTACCAAAAAGATAACCTACGATTGTGAAACTGGCCGTTAGGAGGCTATATCTCAGTAAGTGTGTACTTTTGTACATGGGTAAGTTAGGCTAAATAGTCTTATTTTCATTCAAGGTGAAGCGTTGTCCATACTTATCAGTATTATCTACACCCTGTAGAATATTCCATTTAAAATAAGGAAGTTGCATAACAAATTATAGAAACACTTGTCAATACTAAAAAAAAAAAATGTGAAAAATATACCTTTGACTAATATAATTTTCTCATTATTGCGGAATAACGTACAGATGAAATTATGCTAGAAAGTGGACCCTGATTGATACAATACGAAATTGTTTTTAAAGGTTTTTATTTTACCACTATTTGTCTGTTTATTTGATCATTTTGTATTATAGCAGTTAGCATCTTTTAGTTAGTTCTAGTAATGCTATAAGTAATGTACTGATAATGTAATATTATTAATATAGGTATATTTTTTTATTGCAGTTATTTGAAATACACCTTGGAAAGCTATGTAAAGCAGGATTATAGCCTAATATACTTTCATTATGGTCTCTCCAGTAAAAATAAACCATCTTTGGGATGGCTGATACAAGCTTATAAAGCATTTGATAGAAATTACAAGAAGAACCTCAAGGCCTTATTTTTAGTCCACCCAACAAATTTTTTAAAATTTGTGTCTCAAATTTTTAGACCTCTTATAAGTGCAAAATTCGGGAGGAAGTTAAACTATATTCACACTCTTAAAGAGCTTAATGAATTTATTCCAATCGAAAAATTGGATATCCCACAGGAAGTTATAGAGTAAGTGTTTTTTTTTTTAATAATTCATGTACAGAATGTTTGAGATTTTAAGATACCTAATGACATTTGAAAATATAGTTTCTAGATTTATTTTAATAAAAAAAAAAAAATTTCAAAGCAGTACTAGTATTATAATAGGGATAAAATCGGACAAATGGGAGATTCTTGGAATCAAAGTAAGATTTTCAATAAAATTTAAGAAACTGAAATTTTATAGTTTCTATTCTCTTCCTAGATGTCATTATATCAAAAACGGTTGGGTTTTTTATTTCTAAGTAGTATACCTTTTTTATTCACAATGAAGCAATGTTTGAAAATAGGTCGTATTTATTACACCAATATGTAACTTGCATTCTCTGGCAATAAACACAAAGTGAATATTAACTATTCCCTAGATTTATTTTCATTTTTTGTAAGCATTGACATCTGGAAAGGAGCAGCAGTTGGTTAAGAATGAGCAAGCATGTAAGACTTAATTCTTTTTATCCAGAGGATAAAGTCATACCTAAAAAGGACTTACGAATTATTATAGTGTCCCTATATTTATAATAAATTAGTTTTAATTTCAATTTGTTAGTGTCTAAGTGCTGTTCAGATTTAAATTTCTTTGCTCGATTTTGTAGATTCTGGGATATATGGAAAATATATCGAAGATTATAAAAGTCGAATATGTTAATGAATTTTGATTTCAAGAATCTCCCATTAAGGGCAACTATTTCTAATAAAATGTCCTATACAAAAAGAAAAATACAAAAATTTGTAATGTTTTTTATTTTATTTTGTTTTGAAAAAGCAGAAGTATAACTACAATTTTTGTAATAGTATCCCGAATTTGTAATTATGTAATAATAGCACTGTATTAATTAAATCAAGGGTTAGAGAGAGGAAAGATAAGAAGTAGTGCTGAAAAAAACCGAAAAGAAGTGAAACAGGCTGACCAGATTCCGTAAAAACTGATTTCAGATAAAATTGTAATAGTTCAAGCTAATTTTTGTAGTAGGTATCTAATATGTAACCAATGTCAATAACTACGTAACACAAAGACTATATCCTATTGAATAATCGGATTCTTTCCATCTGAATGGATGCTTGAATAAACAGATTATCAAATAATTGGATATTTGAATAATCGGTTATTTGAAGAATCGAATAACAGGTTTGGATTTCATGAACATCCGAATTATATGAAACCAGATAACTGACTATCCAAAAAACCGATTTCACCATAAAAATAATGACTATAAAATTAGTAATGAATAAACATCTGAAGCATTAGAAGGTGCTAGATCAGATGATAGAATCCGTTAAGCTAGTTTATCAGTTCAGCAGACTTTTATTAACATTTGAAGCATCGGAGAGTATCAGATGATGCTATGAAACCGGGAAATTTAAATTTTCAGATATCGAGTATTTTAATGACATATGCTGGAAAAGCAAGTTGTACAGCTAGAAATAGTCAAATTGTGCAAAAGATTTTATTAATAGTAACAATGAAACTGTAAGACATAAATTGACAATTATTTCTGCCTGCCTATTTATTTAAAAAGTGTTTCATAAAAGGAAATAAATTATTTTTTAATGTAAAATAAATTTACTAGAAAGTTATGAACTAGGAGCAATCCGTTGGTCCAGATTATGTACACTAAACCCTGTTTTGCATATAATGCCTTTTAATACCTACCTTAGTACCCATTACTACATATTAAATGTGTATTAATGTATTATTTTTTGACATTTTTTCTACAAGTTTTGTGTTATTTATATAATTTTATTCTATTAATCCATTTGCATGGAGATCACTTGAAAAATCATTACTAAGTAAATTGTAGAAATGGTAAAATCTTTCTATCGTAGCTATTTTTAAGTGATCGTCTTTTCTAAGTGTTAGAACATCAAGACTACAAGATATTTTTTTTTTTCGGAAAGATTACATTATTTATCAGTTTCAGTGTGTAAACTAAAGTAAAAATACAAAGACGCTGGAGGTTTCTGCTTTCGGTATAATCTACATCTTAAGGTGTTAATAGTTCTGCTCATCTGCTTCGATTTTTTACATCTTCGTGATGTTGTCTGATTCATGGACTTCTTCGGAGTTCTCATATACAGTGTACCTGTAAACAATACAATATTTAAAATTTACTTGAACAAATAAAACTTCCGTTTTATAATTGTAATTTCTTCTATAAATTTTTCTTAATTAATACATCATTCAACACTTTCTAGAGATAGAAATATAATTTAAATATATATTTAAATATTCTAGAAGTTAAAATGGTAGTAGGCTAGAACGACCGAGTCAGTGATAGAGCTTTGTATTGGATAATGTGCATGAATGATTGTAAAATTGATAGATTAATAAATTTACAATTGAATATTTTAAAGTTGATCGACTTTCTGTAAATCTGTAATTATCCATGCATACCTAACTGTAGGCTTGTTGCACGTGAACGATTTTGTAATTGTAATTGACTATTAGTTTTGGTTCACGTGCGTGTACTTCTGTAATTAAGCAGTCATCATTTTTTTGGTGATAATGGAAAATAGAAATATATTAGACTATTGGAAATAATAAATGAAAAGATTCAAAGAACCAGCAGCTAGAAATTTGACAACTGACTTTTGAAGGACACATAGATTCAGGAAATCGTGTCACACTAAACGGATGATGTAATTAGTAAAGTGAAAATTGTATACTTATGTTCAGGGGCATTCACGTAAAATTCCATTACTATCATCTCATTTAGTTTCATACTTTGCAAAAAAAATGGTACAACCAAGATTTTTGAAAATTTTGTGATTTCAAAACAATGCTCTTTTAAAATAATTTTTTTATAGATAAATCTCTGTAACGGGTGATTTTTTTTCACCTGAAAGTTTTAAATATCTCGAAAAATAAGCATTCTATGAAAAAAATTTCCATAATTAAAATTTAATCATTGCGTGGACGAAACACATTAGTGCTAAAATTAGTCCCCCTCCCCCCTCCTTGTAGGTGGGGCAGGGTTTAACTTTGAAATCTTACATAGGAATCCCTATTTTTTATTGCCGATTCGGATTCCACAATTAAAAGTATGTAGGATTTGTCTGAAACATTTTATCAATTCATGATAGTGCTGTAATCAAAGGAATTCAATTTTTTCAGTTTCTCCTGCTGAAAACCTGTGTACAATTCTGCAATATATTTGCAATAAAAATACCACGTTCTATGTGAATACTCGAAATTCATTTATCAGTTTTACAATTTTCAAATAACTGGGAAATTGTTACCTGTAAAAATATGAATGGCTGGTGAATAAATTACTTTTAACCCAGGAACAACGACATGGACATAGTAATTTTCTGTTCACTAAAATGGGTTGTTTCTTAAGTTATTTCTTTCTTTGTATGTTTATTTTGTTGTTGCAGTTACAAAAAAAACATGAAGAAAGACATAACACAAACGTTAAATGTAAACAATAAAACATTTTTATAAAAAATATTTTTAACAAAAGAAATGGAATTTTTAAAACAAAATGGATTCATTTGAAAGCAGATTTAATCAAGCACTCTGATAAGTCATAAACGAAGGAAAGTGAGTTGACCAAGCATCCCATAAAAACACCTGTCCCTGAGATACGATAATAGCAGTTTCTTGAGAAGTAATTTTTTAGTAATTAAAAATTTCTCGAAAAATAAGCCCTACGAAAAAAATGTCCATAATCAAAATTTAATCATTCTGCGGAGGAAATACATTAGTGGTGAAATTAGTCCCCCTCCCCTTCTTTGTAGGTGGGGCAGGGGGTAACATTGAAATCTTACATAGGAATCCCTATTTTTTCTTGCCGATTCCGAGTCTACAGTTAAAAGTATGTAGGGTTTGTCTGACACATTTTTAACAATTTATGGTAGTGCTGTAATCAAAGACATTCAATTTTTTTGTATTTGTATCTCCAAAATGTAACATTCAATAATTATCTTTAAAAGTATTGCTTTGAAATTACAAGAGCTTGATCCATACAATTTTCTTCTAAATACAAATGTAAGAGAATTTATTTTTGTTCCTCCTGGATTTTGGGAATTGTTATGTCTGTTAACAAGGTAGTAACCAGACAAAACTATTCAAAATTAAGTTGTAAGGGGGTTAGTCTTACTAATCGAAGTTGTTAGTGAACTGAAATCTACATATTTTCTATGTGAAACCAATCATTTATTGAAAGCCAAAATCCACTGTAATAATAATAATAAAAACATATTAATTATTTCAGACATGATAAAAAAATAGGAGGTCACATACCACCATCAAATGTAGATCACTTCCAACCTAGTTCACCAACACAACAATTTGGAGTTACATTACAAACCATTAAAGAATTTTATAATGTTGTAATACCACCTGTTGTAAGACATTGTGTAGAATACTTAGATCAACCTGATGGTAAGTAGAATGTATATACGTCCGTAAATGATTACAAGCCATGTAACCGCCGAGCTTAGGCAACCAACATTGCACGTTGGTACTGTCAACTAAGAATCTCTAAATCTTATCAATCATCAATATTAACATGATCGACGATAGGATAAATAAAATGTCATGAAAAATNTTTTTTTGCCAATGGATCTTTTCTAAGAACCTCCCTAGATTTCTGTGAAATAAAGCCGTAGCAAGTAGAGTTGTGAGAATTATTATTCTTATTATTTCACTTATCTTCCATGCTAAAAAGTTTAAAAGCACAGTATATTTTCTTCTAAATTTTGTCACTTGTCTATTGGAATAAATTCGTAATAACATTCTAAAAATCAGCTTAACCCCAGGTTGGCTTACTTGAAGACATAATGGCTGTTGTGAAACAGTTCAATAATTGTTTAACCACAAGTTAACTCTTGGGTCAAGGTTACCTTACCAAAAAGATAACCTACGATTGTGAAACTGGCCGTTAGGAGGCTATATCTCAGTAGGTGTGTACTTTTGTACATGGGTAAGTTAGGCTAAATAGTCTTATTTTCATTCAAGGTGAAGCGTTGTCCATACTTATCAGTATTATCTACACCCTGTAGAATATTCCATTTAAAATAAGGAAGTTGCATAACAAATTATAGAAACACTTGTCAATACTAAAAAAAAAAAATGTGAAAAATATACCTTTGACTAATATAATTTTCTCATTATTGCGGAATAACGTACAGATGAAATTATGCTAGAAAGTGGACCCTGATTGATACAATACGAAATTGTTTTTAAAGGTTTTTATTTTACCACTATTTGTCTGTTTATTTGATCATTTTGTATTATAGCAGTTAGCATCTTTTAGTTAGTTCTAGTAATGCTATAAGTAATGTACTGATAATGTAATATTATTAATATAGGTATATTTTTTTATTGCAGTTATTTGAAATACACCTTGGAAAGCTATGTAAAGCAGGATTATAGCCTAATATACTTTCATTATGGTCTCTCCAGTAAAAATAAACCATCTTTGGGATGGCTGATACAAGCTTATAAAGCATTTGATAGAAATTACAAGAAGAACCTCAAGGCCTTATTTTTAGTCCACCCAACAAATTTTTTAAAATTTGTGTCTCAAATTTTTAGACCTCTTATAAGTGCAAAATTCGGGAGGAAGTTAAACTATATTCACACTCTTAAAGAGCTTAATGAATTTATTCCAATCGAAAAATTGGATATCCCACAGGAAGTTATAGAGTAAGTGTTTTTTTTTTTAATAATTCATGTACAGAATGTTTGAGATTTTAAGATACCTAATGACATTTGAAAATATAGTTTCTAGATTTATTTTAATAAAAAAAAAAAAATTTCAAAGCAGTACTAGTATTATAATAGGGATAAAATCGGACAAATGGGAGATTCTTGGAATCAAAGTAAGATTTTCAATAAAATTTAAGAAACTGAAATTTTATAGTTTCTATTCTCTTCCTAGATGTCATTATATCAAAAACGGTTGGGTTTTTTATTTCTAAGTAGTATACCTTTTTTATTCACAATGAAGCAATGTTTGAAAATAGGTCGTATTTATTACACCAATATGTAACTTGCATTCTCTGGCAATAAACACAAAGTGAATATTAACTATTCCCTAGATTTATTTTCATTTTTTGTAAGCATTGACATCTGGAAAGGAGCAGCAGTTGGTTAAGAATGAGCAAGCATGTAAGACTTAATTCTTTTTATCCAGAGGATAAAGTCATACCTAAAAAGGACTTACGAATTATTATAGTGTCCCTATATTTATAATAAATTAGTTTTAATTTCAATTTGTTAGTGTCTAAGTGCTGTTCAGATTTAAATTTCTTTGCTCGATTTTGTAGATTCTGGGATATATGGAAAATATATCGAAGATTATAAAAGTCGAATATGTTAATGAATTTTGATTTCAAGAATCTCCCATTAAGGGCAACTATTTCTAATAAAATGTCCTATACAAAAAGAAAAATACAAAAATTTGTAATGTTTTTTATTTTATTTTGTTTTGAAAAAGCAGAAGTATAACTACAATTTTTGTAATAGTATCCCGAATTTGTAATTATGTAATAATAGCACTGTATTAATTAAATCAAGGGTTAGAGAGAGGAAAGATAAGAAGTAGTGCTGAAAAAAACCGAAAAGAAGTGAAACAGGCTGACCAGATTCCGTAAAAACTGATTTCAGATAAAATTGTAATAGTTCAAGCTAATTTTTGTAGTAGGTATCTAATATGTAACCAATGTCAATAACTACGTAACACAAAGACTATATCCTATTGAATAATCGGATTCTTTCCATCTGAATGGATGCTTGAATAAACAGATTATCAAATAATTGGATATTTGAATAATCGGTTATTTGAAGAATCGAATAACAGGTTTGGATTTCATGAACATCCGAATTATATGAAACCAGATAACTGACTATCCAAAAAACCGATTTCACCATAAAAATAATGACTATAAAATTAGTAATGAATAAACATCTGAAGCATTAGAAGGTGCTAGATCAGATGATAGAATCCGTTAAGCTAGTTTATCAGTTCAGCAGACTTTTATTAACATTTGAAGCATCGGAGAGTATCAGATGATGCTATGAAACCGGGAAATTTAAATTTTCAGATATCGAGTATTTTAATGACATATGCTGGAAAAGCAAGTTGTACAGCTAGAAATAGTCAAATTGTGCAAAAGATTTTATTAATAGTAACAATGAAACTGTAAGACATAAATTGACAATTATTTCTGCCTGCCTATTTATTTAAAAAGTGTTTCATAAAAGGAAATAAATTATTTTTGAATGTAAAATAAATTTACTAGAAAGTTATGAACTAGGAGCAATCCGTTGGTCCAGATTATGTACACTAAACCCTGTTTTGCATATAATGCCTTTTAATACCTACCTTAGTACCCATTACTACATATTAAATGTGCATTAATGTATTATTTTTTGACATTTTTTCTACAAGTTTTGTGTTATTTATATAATTTTATTCTATTAATCCATTTGCATGGAGATCACTTGAAAAATCATTACTAAGTAAATTGTAGAAATGGTAAAATCTTTCTATCGTAGCTATTTTTAAGTGATCGTCTTTTCTAAGTGTTAGAACATCAAGACTACAAGATATTTTTTTTTTTCGGAAAGATTACATTATTTATCAGTTTCAGTGTGTAAACTAAAGTAAAAATACAAAGACGCTGGAGGTTTCTGCTTTCGGTATAATCTACATCTTAAGGTGTTAATAGTTCTGCTCATCTGCTTCGATTTTTTACATCTTCGTGATGTTGTCTGATTCATGGACTTCTTCGGAGTTCTCATATACAGTGTACCTGTAAACAATACAATATTTAAAATTTACTTGAACAAATAAAACTTCCGTTTTATAATTGTAATTTCTTCTATAAATTTTTCTTAATTAATACATCATTCAACACTTTCTAGAGATAGAAATATAATTTAAATATATATTTAAATATTCTAGAAGTTAAAATGGTAGTAGGCTAGAACGACCGAGTCAGTGATAGAGCTTTGTATTGGATAATGTGCATGAATGATTGTAAAATTGATAGATTAATAAATTTACAATTGAATATTTTAAAGTTGATCGACTTTCTGTAAATCTGTAATTATCCATGCATACCTAACTGTAGGCTTGTTGCACGTGAACGATTTTGTAATTGTAATTGACTATTAGTTTTGGTTCACGTGCGTGTACTTCTGTAATTAAGCAGTCATCATTTTTTTGGTGATAATGGAAAATAGAAATATATTAGACTATTGGAAATAATAAATGAAAAGATTCAAAGAACCAGCAGCTAGAAATTTGACAACTGACTTTTGAAGGACACATAGATTCAGGAAATCGTGTCACACTAAACGGATGATGTAATTAGTAAAGTGAAAATTGTATACTTATGTTCAGGGGCATTCACGTAAAATTCCATTACTATCATCTCATTTAGTTTCATACTTTGCAAAAAAAATGGTACAACCAAGATTTTTGAAAATTTTGTGATTTCAAAACAATGCTCTTTTAAAATAATTTTTTTATAGATAAATCTCTGTAACGGGTGATTTTTTTTCACCTGAAAGTTTTAAATATCTCGAAAAATAAGCATTCTATGAAAAAAATTTCCATAATTAAAATTTAATCATTGCGTGGACGAAACACATTAGTGCTAAAATTAGTCCCCCTCCCCCCTCCTTGTAGGTGGGGCAGGGTTTAACTTTGAAATCTTACATAGGAATCCCTATTTTTTATTGCCGATTCGGATTCCACAATTAAAAGTATGTAGGATTTGTCTGAAACATTTTATCAATTCATGATAGTGCTGTAATCAAAGGAATTCAATTTTTTCAGTTTCTCCTGCTGAAAACCTGTGTACAATTCTGCAATATATTTGCAATAAAAATACCACGTTCTATGTGAATACTCGAAATTCATTTATCAGTTTTACAATTTTCAAATAACTGGGAAATTGTTACCTGTAAAAATATGAATGGCTGGTGAATAAATTACTTTTAACCCAGGAACAACGACATGGACATAGTAATTTTCTGTTCACTAAAATGGGTTGTTTCTTAAGTTATTTCTTTCTTTGTATGTTTATTTTGTTGTTGCAGTTACAAAAAAAACATGAAGAAAGACATAACACAAACGTTAAATGTAAACAATAAAACATTTTTATAAAAAATATTTTTAACAAAAGAAATGGAATTTTTAAAACAAAATGGATTCATTTGAAAGCAGATTTAATCAAGCACTCTGATAAGTCATAAACGAAGGAAAGTGAGTTGACCAAGCATCCCATAAAAACACCTGTCCCTGAGATACGATAATAGCAGTTTCTTGAGAAGTAATTTTTTAGTAATTAAAAATTTCTCGAAAAATAAGCCCTACGAAAAAAATGTCCATAATCAAAATTTAATCATTCTGCGGAGGAAATACATTAGTGGTGAAATTAGTCCCCCTCCCCTTCTTTGTAGGTGGGGCAGGGAGTAACTTTGAAATCTTACATAGGAATCCTTATTTTTTCTTGCCGATTCCGAGTCTACAGTTAAAAGTATGTAGCGTTTGTCCGACACATTTTTAACGATTTATGGTAGTGCTGTAATCAAAGACATTCAATTTTTTTGTATTTGTATCTCCAAAATGTAACATTCAATAATTATCTTTAAAAGTATTGCTTTGAAATTACAAGAGCTTGATCCATACAATTTTCTTCTAAATACAAATGTAAGAGAATTTATTTTTGTTCCTCCTGGATTTTGGGAATTGTTATGTCTGTTAACAAGGTAGTAACCAGACAAAACTATTCAAAATTAAGTTGTAAGGGGGTTAGTCTTACTAATCGAAGTTGTTAGTGAACTGAAATCTACATATTTTCTATGTGAAACCAATCATTTATTGAAAGCCAAAATCCACTGTAATAATAATAATAAAAACATATTAATTATTTCAGACATGATAAAAAAATAGGAGGTCACATACCACCATCAAATGTAGATCACTTCCAACCTAGTTCACCAACACAACAATTTGGAGTTACATTACAAACCATTAAAGAATTTTATAATGTTGTAATACCACCTGTTGTAAGACATTGTGTAGAATACTTAGATCAACCTGATGGTAAGTAGAATGTATATACGTCCGTAAATGATTACAAGCCATTTAACCGCCGAGCTTAGGCAACCAACATTGCACGTTGGTACTGTCAACTAAGAATCTCTAAATCTTATCAATCATCAATATTAACGTGATCGACGATAGGATAAATAAAATGTCATGAAAAAATATAATTCTAACATAACTGATTTTATTGTTTAAATAACTTTTATTGAATTGCAAACTCGAAACTCGATACTTTAATTACTGTTTCAAACAAAACTACTACTGGTTGTAATGAAATTTTAGTTAATTTCGTTACATATTGATTTTATTCCCAAATACCATCATTTTCTCTTTAATCCCATTTATGTTTCCATCCTTATCCCATTCTCACCTAAAGTATACTCCGATCATCTCTGAAAAACCAGAGAATACTCTCATATTGCACTGAAAACGCCCCACGTTGGGCGCCAATTTCTATACGTGCAACACTTTTACGTCAAATTGGCCAAAACAAGCACGCAAATGTAGCTCTGGAAGCCAGCGGAGTAGTGGGTTACGTTGAAACACTAGATTGTATCAAGGGCGCCACTATATCTAGGCTAGATATAGAAATTTATATTGTAATATTATTTTGAACACTAGAGAGTACAGGAATGTCAAAAAAATACTAAATCTAAAATAACAAATTAAATAAAAGTTAAAATCAAAGATGGCTTGTAATCATTTATGTTCTGTAACAATCTGCTAAACATGTATCTGTAATGTAATGCTGACTTGTTAACTTTATCGTTCTGATATATTTAAAGTGAAAATGGGGAACGGGAGATTTTGACCTCAAAACTTATATGTTGGTTTGTTTGTGTCATAATAAATCAAGAAGGGCATCAATTTGTCTTTTTTACAAAGACTGAAAATGCATTTACATAAATGGTCAGAGTTTAAAAATCATACGAGATTTGTCAATTTTAATGTCCTCTAGTGTATAAAAGAAGTACCTGAAGATAATAGTACATTTTAATTAAATCGTCTTATTTTACCCTTAATAATCTGGTAATTCCACATATTGAGACACCTAAATGATGATTATATATTTTTATTGTGTTAATCTTTAAATTAAAATTCGTAAAAAAAAATTAAAATATGGCAAAATAAAACATGCCATATTTGCAGTTCTCCAAAATCTAAGTAAANAAAATTTTCACTCTTTATGATCAATTTGTTTTAGCTGTCTGAAAGGATTTTACAAAAAATTTGTTTACGATATTGATTCCATTTTTCATGCTGCATCTATTCCCAAGTTGTGAATCACCCCGTATAGTGATATTTATCAAAAAAATCAGATATGTAGAAATTGCACTTTAACAAATGTACCGACTTTATTGGACAGTATTGAAAAAAATGCTCTAATTTTGTAATTTAATTTTTGAAGAATTTGATGAGCTTTATTTACCATAACCACTAGCTCTGGCTTGACATCCTGCAAGCTCTACATTACAGATAATAATATATTTATTACATTTGATAAATGTAACTGTAATGTAAATAGGACGAAATCCAAACTAATTATTGTTTTCTAATTATATTTCTATCTTCAATCCCACAGGTTTTTCTGTCCTTATGTATTTACAAATTATTGTTTAGCTTTAGAGACTGAAGGTATTTTTAGAAGATCTGCCAATGCAGTAAGAGTTCGGACTCTTAAAGAGGTTGCCAATTTGGGCCAAAGGCCTAACTTCGAAGATCCTCACGAGGCAGCTGTGCTGCTAAAAATGTTTTTAAGGGAACTAAAAGAACCTCTTTTAACGTATGAACTATATGATGAAATAGTTCAGTTTCAATGTAAGGAACAATTATGGATTTTATGAAAACATATTCTAAACAGTGTTGTTTTAGGCTGGAATAAAGACGAGCAGTTGAGACAAGTTTCTACACTTATTATGGAAAAGATGCCTGAGGATAATTACAAGGTTCTTAAGTACATCATTAGTTTCTTATCTAGGGTAGGTAATAATTTCAACTCTTAATGTTTTTTATATAGCAAATGGCGGTTCAATACAACGATTTGCACAGTCAAAAAGCATGTCGAATGAGTGTTTTAGATCGTCGGCGGGGATGTCTTTCAAGATGTCGGTACAAACTTTTTGGATGGTTTCCACATCAACAAAACACTTTTCTTTCATCAGTAAATACATTTTTCCGAAAAGGTACAAATCACATGGTGCCAAAACAGGCAAATGGGGAGTGGTTGAAAGTTAATGCTTTTAGTCAAAAAATCGGTCACACGTGTCTATCAATGAGATTAGAATTGTGGAACGAACTCTTTGTAGACAATGCCCTGGGAATCGTAAAAACAAATGAACTTTGTCTTCATTTTTGACTTCTTCAAACAAGATTTTTTGCGTTTTGGCTCATCTGGGGCCTTCCACTCGGCACTTTGGTTGCTATTTTCAAAACACCACGTTTCATCACCAGTCACAATGTTGTAAAGGAAGTTTTTGTCCATTTTGGCCACCTTGATGATATCCTTCAAATGTTGAATTCTGAGCAATTTTCGGTCGTCAATCAACTTGTGCGGAACAAACCGTGCAGTCACTTTTCGGTAGCCCACAAATGTTCGAACAAAATGTGATAAATTGATGTTTTTGAGATGCTCAATTCCAATTCCATGAATTTCAAGAAATAGTTTTGATGATCTTTGATGAATTCATGCAGTTTTGATGGAATCTGTGGTGATCACGGATTTCGTTGGCCAATTTGTTGCTCATCGTTTATGTCCTCACGATTGTTTTTAAACCGCGTATATCACTCATGAACTCTGCCAAGGGATAAACAATCATCATCATAAACTTGGTTTATCAATTGAAACGTTTTGGTAGAAAAAAATGAAAACAATACTTAATATTAGCTTTTTGTTCGATGCTCATTTTTGTACCGAGGACACAACTTCCTGTCACTTCAGACACAATGACTCTGCTTCTATTCATCCAAATGCCACGAAATTTTGAGAGTACATCAGTAAAGGATCTAACTTTCCAACGTATGTAGTTGCAAATAGATGGTCTCACTAAAAATACCTATTTTTGAAAACCTGTTTAGAACGAACCTTGTCGACTGTTTTATGATCTTATGTGACAAAGACAACACTTTAAATTGGTGAAAAAGTAACATATAAAATCATACTTTTTTTGTTTGTTGATCCAAAAACACAAAAACGTCTATTAATCTATACTTCTATACTAATATTATAAAGAGGAAAGATTTGTATTTTTGTATGTATGTATGTTTGTTACAAATAAACTCAAAAACTACCGGACGGATTTCAATAAGTCTTTCACCATTATTACATTATCCCTGAGTACCATAGGCTATATTTTTTATATCCCAAAATGATTAAAATAAATGTCCACCCGTGCGAAGCCGGGACGGGCCGCTAGTAAATTATAAAATTTAAATTTTTTTTGCAATATTTTATTTGCATTCCATAAAAATTGTGCTGCTATTGTATTCTGTAAGTGTTTTTTTTAGCTAGGATTTTTTAAAGGAATTTTACTTTTACTAATAGACAAACTCAAAAAATAATGAGGGTTTGATTCAGAGAACTAATAAAACAAACCAAACACCTAGAGTGGAACATTTTCTGATTGGCTTTTCTTATTAACAAAAAAATGCATCATTTAAACCATTATTATTAGAGAACAAATCTGCAGATGTCTGGATTCAGATCTGGTGATCTAGGAGGCCATGATTTCAGTCCACCTCTTTCAATTTTTCATTCACGAAATTTCTCACTTCCTGTGGACTTTCATTTTTTTTTTCATATATCTAGTATTCGCGATGCTGTAACGTTGATAGATGAAAATGTGTTACAAAGGGTTCAAATTTCCATGAATGCGAAAGCTTGCCTTGATGTAGGAGAGACCTATTCGCTACATTTTGTGACGTGGATAATATCTTATTTTATATATAAAATTTAAATGATGGATTTTTGTTTTGACTCAATAAGGGACGTAAATTGGAAAAATTTTCACTCTTTATGATCAATTTGTTTTAGCTGTCTGAAACAAACTGTAAAGGCATGGGTGGGGCCGAACTTCCCAATTAAACTCCCGAATGGCCATTTTAGTCATATTGGCGATATGTGGTCGCGCATTGTCAAGTTGCAAAAGAACGTCGTATTACCGATCAGGTGTTTTTTGTGTGTGGAGCCGTTGTAGTTATTATACATAGAGTTCTGCGTTGACGGTTTGATTGGTCAGTAAGAGTTCATGAAAAGGAATCCCTTTCCAATCCCACAAGACGCATAACATTGTCTTTCGAGGATGAAGTTCTGATCTTGTTCGTGGAGTGGCTTGTTTTTTTTGCACTTAATCATTCTTTCTGTTATTTCAAATTCACATACATACACCATTTTGTATTACCAGTATGATGAAGAAAACGTTCGTTATGACCACGTCTTGATCGATGACGACAGAGCAAATCAGCGGCAATTGCGGAGCGCTGATTCTTATTATTTTCATTCAAAACATGTGGGACGCAAGCACCTAGTTTTTGAACTTTTTCCTTCAAATATAAGTGGTTTATTACTGTTTTGTGATTACATGCCATCGTCTGAGTCAATCTCCTTGTTGATTTTCTTGGATTTTCGTTAAGGAATTGATTCAATAGCTCTTCATCAAATTCAACAGGGCATCCAGAATGATTCATGTAAGGTCAAAGTCTTCTTTAAAATGCGAAAACCATCAACGGGCCCTTCATTCATCGCATCATTACCATATACGGCATAAATTTTCGGAGCAGCTTGAGCGGCTTTAACATTTTCTCCGTCTCGATTAAAACTAAAAGCATGTGTGGAAAATTAACAATCTTATCAACTTGACATTCCATTTCAATTGAATGAAAATCACAAAAATTAAGTCTAACAAAGCAACTAAAATTTGAAAAAAAAAACTGACTACTTATTTCCCAATCCATTAGTATCTACTCACAGTTTCATTGCATTAATATTTGCTTAAAAAATATACAATATACTGAGACTGTTGTGTGTTGCAGGTAATGGAAAGATCTGATTTAAACAAAATGAATGCACAAAATTTGGCTGTAGTATTTGGACCAAATTTAGTATGGTCGGAAATAGTGTCCATGTCCTTAAATGCCATAGGGCCCATTAATATGTTTACTCAATTCCTTTTAATTCATCACAGTAAAATATTTATGTATTAATTATTGTATCGCGTAATACTGTGATTTAATTGCATTTGATTATTTAAGTGTACAAATATTAACAAAGTTCCATAAAAGTAATTATTTTTTATAATGTTATAATTACATTTTATTAAAAAAAAACTTGTTTGTCAAGCAAGTAAAATATTTGACATTTACATATTTTTTTATTTGCTGAAGTAGTATTACCATATATTTTAATAAATTTAAAAATTATTTACTGTGTCTTTTTGTAAAAAAATCGCTGATATATGTTGCTTTTATATACATACAAATATGAAAGAATGAAAGACTTAAATTAGACTTAGTTGGATATAAAAATTGTATACAAATATGTAGTAATGTAGTTTTATAAAATATCAATAAGTTCATTATTGAAAAATATTATTTTGCCAGTTTGTCTTTTATATAATTAAGGTATCAGACATCTCAAGCCATTTCACTTTGCCATTAATTAGAAATCGATTTGTATTAGTGTTTGTTTCGCTCATTGCACCAATGTTCAGTTATTGATTAATTTTAAACAAATCATGTCATTATGTCTACTGAAGTCTTATCGCTGATAAATAAGTACATGTTGTCGGGTAACTGAATTTAGTTTTGAAATATTCGAAAAATATGACAAAATTCATGAAATATTTTTTCAAAAGATAAAATCATTTGTATCTATTTTGTTTTTATTTAAAATTAAACTCCTCGTTTTGCTGCTGACTGAAAATTATTGTATTTGAAAGAAGGAATCCATTCATTAATATTTTTCAGTAATGAAATTCTATATAAAATTTAGTCAAAATGCCAAAGACGAAATTTTCAATTAGTTAAATGTTTAGTGGAAGAAATAAAACTACATTTGTTACAGAACAATTAACGTTATATTTAATTGTATAAATATTGTCACTTTTATCTTTTACTACCTCCTTTATTGGATTCCACTTATTTAAAAATTAATTTTAATGTTTCTCCAATAATTTTATTTTTAATAATAACGATTTATGTTTAAAAAATAATAGTACCAGTAAAATATTATATGTCCCCTAGTTATATTGTTTTATTTATAGCTTACTTCCCGTATTATCCATATCGAGCTTTTCTAATATTTGATCAGCCTAAAAAAATATAAAAATGAATTTATAATTTATATATCTATTTGGTGCGAGTTATAAGTAAAAATATATTACACAAAATGAGTTGAAAGTAGAACCGATACCAGTACTAGGAAAATAATAACTACAGAGCTTTCATAAATGATTACAAGCCACATGACCAGAAATTCTGTTTCGAACAGTAATTTTATTTCCTTCATGTTGACAATTAAATTTCGGTAAAATTAAAAATTATTAAAATGGTAAGTTCAAGACTACATTAAAACACAACATTTTGTTTACCTGTTGTGATTCATCTCGAGCGAGCAGACGTAATGCTTTGTCATTGTTCATTGTAAACGGATCATTAATATAGGTGATGCTAAGATTTAGAGAATTTTCGTTACCAATAGCAGTTTTGCAATGTTGCTTGGCAGTCACGTGTCTTGTAATCATTTATGAAGGTAGTAACTGGTGTTTCAGTTCAGCGGTGGCGGAGCTTCATGATTTAGGTCCACCAGCAAAGTCAATTCCACTCCCTCCCATAACCTTTGGTTGACATGATTTAATATTTTTTGTATGAAAATGTAGAAAAAATTATTCGAGAAATTCTACACTTAACTTTTAACAAAGCTAGAAGTAAGGAAAGGCATAGTTCTAAAAAAATGCGAAATGTCTACGTCAAAGATTTTTTCCAATTTTCTATTTTTCTAGTTATTGCATTTCTAGAAAAAATCGTTGATATAGAAATTTTGGATTTTTTAGGGACTATGTCCCTCCCCTCCTATTACTTCCACAAAAATGCAAAATTACTGCACCAACGATTTAAACATTTTAGTACATTTTATTTAAAACAAATTTTTAACACAAAAAATATACAGGCTGTCTTATAAAAAACGCCCCAAGCTGTAACTCTGTTAATAATTGTTCTATTTAAAAAAACAAAAGACTTGTTAGTGGCTTGACAAATACTACAATCGAGCACTGATTTTATTTTTTTTGCCATCATCAGAAAGTTATGCAATTTTTTTCTGCAGTCAACGATATATTACAACTTGATATTTGTAAAATATTTTTTTTTGCAAAATTTATTAGAGAAATGCTATGTCTAAAGTAATAACAAAGCAAAACAAATAGATACCAGATCAACAACAAAACAAAAATGTAACGATAAAAAACCTTATAAAAATTGTTCCAACTGTCTTCCATCTTGTTGAATACATAATTGACATCTTCTGGCTACTTCATACGTAGCATTTGATATTAAGTTTGGAGGTATTTCACGGCAAACGTTTATAATCCTCTCTCTTAAAATATCTACATTTTCTGGATGTGTCAAAAATACTTGATCTTTAAGATATCTCCAAAACCAAAAATCTGCGGGGGCGAGGTCAGGAGAGAACGGGCGGGCCATCGAACAGGATCAGTCATGCCAATCCACCTTTCATCAAAATTATCATTTAACCAATTAGAGATTCTTCTAGAATTATGCGGGGGAGCACCATCTTGTTGAAAATAAATCCTATACACTTCTGCAAGCGGTAAGGTATCCAAAGAGTTTGCAAGATTTTCTGACAAGAGTCTGATATTTGTCTTGAGTTAAGAGTTCCATCGATGAAAAATGATCCAATTAATCGATTACCTAGAATCCCACACCAAACATTGACACTGAATCTCCCTTGGTAATTGGTTTCAACACAGTTATTCTGGGATTTTCTTGACTCCAATATCGATGGATATTTCGGTTAAAAATGCCATTTTTACTAAAGGTACACTCATCTGACCATATAATTTTTCTCCAAAATCCTGTGTCTTGTTGGATCATAATATTTAAATAAAAATCGCAAAATTGCTCCCTTCGGACACAATCGTTATCTTCTAATACTTGCACTTTCTGTGGTATGTATGATTTAAATTTGTGTTTTTTAAAGATTTTGTGTACCATATCTTTTGAAGAATTAATATTACTTGCAATCTCTCGAGTAGAAGCTTGTGGATTTTACTCAATACTAAGCAAAACGTCTAATTCTACAGGACCATTAAAAATGTGTTGCAAATTTTTAGGCTTTTTAAAAGCACCATACATTATGATATTGTCTTCAAGTCTTTTAAATTTTCATCGCTGTGGGACATCCCTGTTTGGAAACCGATTTGCATACAGACGTTCTGCTTGGGCACTATTTTTATTACATTGAAAGTATACTTGCAACATATCGGTCAGTTCATTACTGTTCATACCTTTTAAGTTACAATAATTTCTTTGTAATTAATGACCACTTGACAATACACTGATACGTATTTTGCCTAGGAAATGACGCGCACGTGACATTGAATGTTTCTAAATTTAATTGTTTTCATGGAAAATTTGACATTTCTATCACAAGTTGCCGTGAATTAGACAGCATTTCTCTAATAAATTTTGTGAAAAAAAATTTTTTCCATAAAATATTTAACAAATATCAAGTTGTAATATATCGTTTACTGAAGAAAAAATACTCCATCAAACAAGCCAAAAAAATAATGACATTTAAGAAAAAACAATTATTGAAAATCGCCTAACGTTCTAACGATAGGCGATGCTCGATTGTAGTATTTGTCAAGCCATTAACAAAAGTCTTTTGTTTTTTTAAATAGAACAATTGTTAACAGAGTTACAGCTTGGAGCGTTTTTTATAAGACAGCCTGTATATTCTTTCGTGAAATAACTTGAATATATTTCATTTTTAAAATAAAGTACAAAATTCTTTTTCTCAGAATTAGGAATTAAAAGCAGTGATCAAATTTCTTGAATATCTAGAACCATCGAATTTCTGGGGTTTTTAGAAATAGTGACTTATTATATCTCGCTACTGGTTAACGTATTTAGAAAAGTTTCATCAGTAAAGTAATTTAAGAGTAGAGAGAATTTAATGGAGAGTTACATAAGGAGGTTTATCAGGTACGGAGGTACGTCTAAAGTCTAACGAGAGTTTCTGCAGATTCGCTAGTGACTAAAGTAGTAAACCTTTAGATTTGGCAATGTTGCACTTGGCTGGCTTTGGATGCCTAGGCTTGAAATATACATCATATGTCACATCTGCCAATTTCAAATAATACGCTACTTCGAGAACCGCAGCGTTGCCGCTATCATGAATATGGAGGTTAAGTTAGTCAATGACAGCAGTTTGAAGGAGAATTATTATAAATTATGTATCTTACAAGTACCTAATCAATTTCTACGAGCTGTCATACGATTCCTTAGATATCGGTTTCCTATTTATACAAGTTGCTGTGAAACTGTTCGTCAATTGTCGCGCAAGTGGAAAGACCAAAAAAATGGGCATTCTCATAAGACTGTACTAAATCGTGAACAATTATTTTATTAATATCTCGTCTCTTAGGTATCCAAACTAGTCATAATTTTTTTTGAGGATTTTGTTCATATTAATAAGCTTATATTAATTTTTTTGAATACTTGTTCGTCAATTCCAAATCAGATAAACCTCCTTAACGGGAAAAGTAAAAGGTGCAAATGCTGCCTACTGAATAATAATATGCCGTCCCCTTTCCAGCAGATAGAAATTAAATTAAAATAATTATTCATAAACAAGTTTTTGTGGATTGAGAAATTTAAATATACCTACTTACCGATTGAAACCACCATGTATTGGGTTTGAACACAACTTGACTTAAAAATGACATTTCCGATGCCGGAGATATAACATGTAGATGTAAATGTGCTACAGAGTTAAACGGAGGACAATGAAAACCTAACCGAATGTCATCAACATTGCCACCGTTATCTCGTAAAACTTTTTTACCATTATCCATTAATTTGATAACTGAAAATACAGTAATTACCATAGCCATATATAAAAGTATGCTTTTCTTACGTAAGTTTTTATGGTCTGACGTTTTTAAATAGTTTATATTGATAATATGCTGTTTAGGTACAGACAAATAGTGATGTTTGGATGCTGGTTTTATGTCTTTAAATACTACTACTTCGTCATCTTGATGCAGTATTTCTCCAGCAGATTCTCCTGAAATTATTTTGCAGAATATACAATTTGAAGACATCTAAAACATAAATTGTTTTAACACTTTCAAGCTTCAAATCTGTGGCATACCTTCAAAAATTGTTTATTCCTAATACAATATATTGTGCTAATTTTGATTATTTATTTGTGTGCCAAACTGTAGATTTATGTATTGGAAATTATATGTAAGTAAAATGTTCAACAATAATTTGAAAACATAAATATATCATAAGCCATAACTATAACCTCTTAGTATCACAGATTACAGGAGTTAGTATTGTCAATCATCATCAGGGGTTTACGAAAAATATATCTGACCAACTGATCCGAGCGCTGCTTACTCTGGTCAGAGTGCTCTTTTAAATTGGCTATTTTCGTAAGCACCTAGTCGAAACCGATATAATCTAACCTCTATCACTATCTACATGCATAATTCTACAAATAAATGTGAAAAGTGGTACCTGTATGATGTACGACTACAATAATAATAATGTTCATCTACATCTACCATATCTAAATTGTTATTTAACATATTGCCATTTTTAATTTTTTTTCTACACAAGACAACTGAAGAGAACGAAACGAAGTTCATGTTTCATTCAACAGTCAATAAAACAATCTTTCTTTGTAACTTAACGAAACATCTGTTTTTATTTTTTTTTTTATTATACCTGTAAACAACACGCATGCGCAAATTTCAGATCATTCTTTAATCTGACAAATAAGCAAGGGCGACTAGAGCGCTCAGATTTTCTATATCTGAGCATTGAGGTTGCATTTTCGTAATGGGATCGAATCATCAGAGTGAATATTCGTAAGGCATTTTCTTGTTCCGACCACTCCGATACAATTATCGTAAACCCCTATTATGTCACGTCATGTCTGACGTTTGACTTTCGATCTTCGATCATATGATCACCACAGATAGAACAAGATGATCACAAAACCATCGATTTGACAGTATACAATAGATGGAACGCAAAGAGAGAGATGAGGTAAGCGGCTATTCTCGCGTCACGTGACTTGGGGCATTTTTGCCATCCGAGCCATTATTCCATGGCTAGAAATTGGCCTCAATGATTTGGGATCGAGGGATCCCTCTTTATCCTGCCTCATTTCGTGTAGGCCTGGACAGCCTTCGTAGGTGGGCCCCATCCGTCGTCTACCACGACCGCAAATGCGGCCGGTGTAGGCGCTTTGTGGGACCTCATTTTGTCCTGGCTGGGCCCTTTCTTCTGGCGCTCTTCTTGCTTCGCTGGCTCGTCTGTGTAAACCCCGGGGGTGGTGTCATGTTTATATGTGGTATGGTTGGGTAGGGTAGTGCGGCTAAGCAGCCTGGGATGCGCTTTGCTAAGGTGTCCCTAAGGCTAGCGCGGGAGGGGAGGGGTAAGGAGGGGATGGGGTGTGTGTATGTGTGTGTGTCGTTGTCTTCGTTTCTTAATCCTGGCGTCTCTGAAACAGAAAAGGTTAGCGGTCAGGGGGGATGTCGTTGGGGTGGTCACCCAGGGTCAAAAAGTTGGTGTCTAGGTCTTTTGTGTTTGTCGGTCACGTCGGGTACGTAGGCAACGGCTTGCCTGAGGAGGGGATTGTCATGTCTAGCGGCTACGTCAAACCGTTTCTCCGCGTTTTGTCTTATTGTCTGTGTAGCGTTTGTGTATTGTAAGCCTCGTAATATCTCAGTTTCTTACGTACCAGGGAGCGTCGGTGGCCGTGCGGAGGGCTATGTTTTCCACAGCCTGTAATGACTTTAGGTGGCTTTTTGCCGCGTGACCCCATTTGGAGGTAGTATGCCATTGCGAAAAGTGTGGCTGAGTGTGCGAGAGAGACAGACCGTATCTCAGTACATGCTGTCTCACTCTAGCTCGCCGCGATTGGTTGGAAATGAATGCTCCACCCCATATTAATTAAAAATAAAATAGTAATCACTCCATAGCATAGCCCCAGAATAGAAAACTACAGCATTGATTTGGCAACTGTGGCAACACTGACTAAAGATAACCAACCAATGAACCAATCATATTAGAGAAAAGAAACTGTCAACGAGAGTAAACATTTAACATTTCCCTGCATTTAATTTTGTTACTTTTCTTAATATAATTATGAATGTAATATGAATTTAAGGAAAAATTTATTTGCAAGTAATCAAAATTAAATAAAAATGGGTTCTGAAAGTGATGATGTGCAAATTGATTCAGATGAATCCTTATTGGATATAAAAGAGGTGGTTTTTGTGTGATAATAATAATGTACTAAAAATTTTAACTATTATAATTAATTGTAGATAAACGATTTAGAATTTGATATACCTCATGTTGCTCCACCTTCTCTTGAGAGTGTTTTATGGGACATGGAATCTGAGGAAGGAAGTGATAGTACTTCTCTACAATCATTTCAAAGCATTTCTGTAAAATTTAGGTCTATGTTATCGCACTGTATTTTACAAGGTGTTTCAGCACAAATTACTTCAGCTGGTGTAAGTGACACACATTATACCTATATGTTATAATTGTATAATACTCTTGAGACTTTTAGGAAAAAGTAAATGCTGGTTTACCTACGGTTATTACGAATAGTTTGAAATATGTTGCAATAGGTACATCGCATGGCTATATATTAGCATTTGATCCGGAACAGAATTTGTGTTGGTATTGCCATGACTTGAACACCATAGACCAAGGAGCTATTTCTGCTTTAGCCTTTAATTTGGAATCTACGAGACTTCTTGTAGGGTTAGTTTAAAGTAGTAACAAAAAATTAGTTCTACAAAAATTTTTTCCTAGATATGAGAGAGGCTTTATATCAATGCTTGATGCAACAAATGGAGATGTAATCAGGAAAATGCCTGACGCTCATGCTCCACAAACGGCCGTACTGCATTTAAGATTTACATTTTTAAATAATCTTGCTTTGTGTGGTGATTCTTCAGGATGTGTTTTCTCACTATCTTTTCATAGAAGGCTAGGTGTTAGAACGTGGGAATCAAAATGTTTATTTTCTGGCGCTAGAGGTGAGGTTTGTGTTTTTGAACCCCTTGTTCGAGGACATGATATACATTTTCTTAGTAATTATGTATTGGTGGCAATGGCAACACTATCTAAGGTAATTAATTTTTTTTAGTTATACAGTGAAGTAAACCAATTTTTTTAATTTTGCAAGGTGACCTATAGTAATTTTCTTTTTATTGCTGTTTGTTTTTTTTTGTTGTTAAGATATTTGAATGGTAAAAAGACACAGGCTTATTTGGATATTTGTATTTTTACATATTTACACAAATTACGTCATATAATGCCGGAATCTATGGGTATAATTACTTGAAAACTATATTTTTGAGCTTATAGCGGAAAATAACTTTCGTTTGGCTTTCTAGCTCAGATTTCTTCTATTTGAGATTAGATATTTAAAAATAGAGAGTAGGGCTTCAAAAATAAAAAATATGAGTTCCAGAAAATAATTTGATAAACTACTTGCCATAAATCGATATTAGGTAATTCTACAAAAATTATTCAAAATTATTTGCACGAGTTACTAAACATGCTTTTAAGCAGCGGAGAAAATTAACTTATTTACTCCAGATATCCATAAAAATATGTTGTTGAAGATCGGCGACATGGAACAGTGGGTATTAGTTCTCTATTTCATATACCTCAAATGAAAAAAATCAAATTAGAATATCCCACTGAAAACACGCGAAATGTGAATTCTATACAATGTGATGATTAACATATGAAAATTCAATATTTCTTGTAAGGCAGCATTTGTTTGTGTTGCTTAATTTGGTTGTTGTGCCACTTGTTGCCAAAACCAACGACAGAATTCTACACGCGGCTAAAAATCATTTACAGTGAAAGCCTGCCGACGAGAACACGGAAGACATGTCCATGCCATGCAAATAAGTACACTGAACTTGATCTAGATAGTATGTTGTAAACATTTGATCAGTTGATTAAATTAAGCAATGCAGGATCCGACTAAGTTTTGCGTAATAATTCTTGAATAATATTATGAAACACAACATTATAAACCCCAACTTGTTTATGGGAAATTGTATATTTTCACGTCCTCTCTTACCCCTTTGAGGAAATGCATTTATTTCAAAAACACCTGATATAGTATATCATTAAATATACAGTACTAATAAAATTAATATCACTATGGGCTCTGTTAAATTTAAGAGTTATTTCAGGATTATTAGACAAATTAGGAATATTATATGAAATAGTAAAGTCCCTATTTATGATGCAAATAAACAAGAATAAATTAGTGAAAAAAGTCAATTTTCATTTTATAAGGCAGAATTTTAATATTTTAGGTTATAGTGATCTCAGTTCGACCAAGATTGAAAGTACATTTTAGTCAGCAATTACCAAGAATATCGACGTCATTACCTTTGATTTCGTGGCAATTAGTTTCTGTCGGCAAATCCTTTCAACCAGTACTGGCTTGGGGCAGAGGAAATGAATTGAATTATACCAGAGTGATAACACACGGTTTTAGTAATAATCGTATTAGATTGCTGCCTCTTAGAACTGTTGAATTACTTTATTCAATGACTGCATTGCATTGGCTAGGAACCAGACATTTAGCATTATTAGATACCAGTGAAAATTTGAGATTGGTTGATGTTCGCTCACAGCGTGAATTGGAAGTGTTAGAACTTGCTAATGCCGGCCTAGTATATAGTACAGCACATTTTAAAGCCCTTGCTGTTGGAGGAGGTGTTAGCGAAGCATTTGCACTGGCAGGAGAAAGAGCTTGTTATAATAGCTTGTCTGGTCGGGGAGATCAGTTACTAGTATTAGGAACAAAAGCTGTGCATATGGTTAAATTAAGAACATGGCCAGAAAGACTGTTGTATTTAAGTGATCAAGGACGATGGGCAGAAGCTTTAAACTTGGCAGCGGAAGAGGGGTTAAATAGAGAGAAATTTACAATAATATTATTAGATAAATATTTGGAAAATTTGAATCAAAATACTGTTGATAAAGAAAGCCTAACTGCGGCAATAAATTGCTGTGTGAAATTAGGAAAAATGTAAGTATACATATACATTGCTGGTTAAAAATTATGATGTGAATCATTTCAAGCTTAAATGGTATCTTTACAAATTTAAGCTTTAATTTTTAACTATTTAATAACATTGATTGTTGATCTTCGTTTTAGTATAGTATCGAATAAATTGATTATTTCAGAATATGAAAAAAGTTTGGGGGAATTTCTTTAACAAGTCAATCTTTAATATGAATTTTGCATATTTTGATTTCATTTTTTTAGTCCTGATGTCATGGGGGTTTAGGTTATGAGGTCATCCACCTTTTTACATTTACTATATATTTTACATTTTTTGACTATAAAACACTGATTTCAAAAGCCTATATAGTCAAAAGGTCCAAATTAAAGATTTTGTTCAAATTTTTGACTACTCTGAAATAATGAATTTATTCCTTATTTTGGTACACACTGTACGATTCAAATATATTGGCTCTCACTTTGAATGCTATGTGCCACTATTTTTGGTCATAACCGGATTGGGGCTATTAATGGATTGGGACGATTTGATTACACCAACAAATACCCTTAATGCAGGAAAATATACTTAAATGTACAATGAGTCAATTTTATATATTGTTGGAAATAATTTAAATAAAAATATTTGCTTCGAGACACTAACCTTATTAATAATTGGAATTTTTTATTTATTCTAGTTATTAGTTAAAAATTATAGTTAGTCAGGGAAGTAGTTGGAAAACATTGAATGTGATATATATTTTTTTAATCTGTTTAACTAATACATATAAATAATCGTATAAAAAACTCCACTAGAGTTATTATTGTAAGGGAAAACGTAAGTAATTACTGAAAAATAGATTAATTTCATTATTTATTGTTTTTTTAACGTTGATAATGATTACTTTTGTTACAGTCAAATTTTATGCAATGAACTGCTAGAAGCTGTATGTGTTGACCAAAATAATCAAGACTGGTATTATAGTTTATTGACAGATCATATATGTAGCGGCAATTTATCAAATTTATCACCTTCTGTAGCACAGATGTTAGTGGCCTATTTAGAGCGTAAAGATCACCAGTTACTAGAGAATGTTTTATTATCTTTAGAAATAACCTGTTTGGATTTGCATCAGGTTTTGAAAATATGTAAGAAATTAAAGTTATATGATGCCTGGATACATATCACTACGAAGACGTTGGGGGATTACACAAGCCCGTTAACTGAATTTCTTTCGGAATTGACCTCCGATAATCACAAATTAGGCAACACTATGTTGGTTTATGTGTCAGCTTGTCTAGCTGGTTTGGGATACCCCACCGGAAGTATTCCCGAAAAAGATATTCTCAGAGCAAAGTATGATGTATTGAGGTGTCTAGAAACCGTTCATTCCATTAATAGAAGAAATGATGAACCTAGTTACCCATATTTATACGCATTATTGAAATATAACACAAGAGAATGTTTAAATGTTGTAGAACTAGCATTTACAGAAGCTGAATTTTCAGGAGAAATGGGGCTTTTACAGAGACAAAGGCTCGTTCAGATATTAATGCAAATAATTACTCCAATGGAATTTTCAGTAAGTTTTTTTTAATCAAATATTTAGGACTGTGAATTAATTTTGAGGGAATGTAAATTCAAGGGTTTATTGTGAAAACTTGTGTACATTATTATCTTTCATAGTACTGTCCATTGCTAGCCACTTTTTCCCATCTTTCTGGCAGCATATGGATTCTGCGTATCTTCACAAGATTGGAAGCGCTGCTTAGCCAGGTCATGTTCCATGGATCGGAACAAGTACTGATCCTATGGAGCAATATCTGGTGAATATGGCGGATGGAGTAAACAACCCATTCTCAGCATTTCTAAGTATTTTTGACTTCTTGAGCAACATGTAGTCGAGCATTGTCATGTTGAAAAATTACTTTGTGCTTTTGCTCGAATGTGGCCATTTTTCCTTCAATGCTCGGCTCAAACACATCGATTGTATTTAGTAGAGTTCACCAGCAATGGTTTCATTGAAGCAGCTAATAGTAAACAACACCAAGCTGGTCGCACCAAATATATAGTATGAGCTTCGAACCATGAATTTCACCCTTGCTGTCTATGTTGATGCATGATGAGGCAAGCTCCACGATTTTCTGTGATTAGGATTATCATAACATATCCATTTTTCATCGCCAGCCATAATACAATACAAACAACCATTTCTTTTTTGCCGTTGAAGCAATTCTTTACATGTGAAAAATAGCCGTTCAACATGGCTCAGCTTCAGTTCATATCCTTGCTTTTGAATCATACCGAGTGCATTTAAACATTTGCAAACTGTTGTGCGAGCAACAATCCAGCAAGTTTATCTTGTGTTTGACATGGATCTTGATCTATTAACGCTTCCAATTCCTCATCTTCGAATTTTTTCGGTCGACCAGGGCTTTCTTTGTCAACTATATCCAAATCACCATTTTTAAAATGTTGAAACGAATACTCACACGTTTTTATTGATGGAGTGGAGTTCACGGTAAGTTTCCAGCAGCACTCGATGACTTTTTGCAACACTTCTTTGAAAAAGGAAAAGTAGCACTTCCCATACATGGTGTTTTGTTGACATCTTTGGAGCTGAGAAAAAATATGTTCAGCAAAATGACACATAATAAAAAGTAAAGACTAATGACAGAGCTTTGACATGAATATAGTTACAGAAGTATCTGATGTGATACAGATAAGTTACGCCATCTATTGTAAATTCTTCAAAAGTGATTCACAGTCCTAGTAAAATGTAACAAAACAAAAATAAATAATAAAACTAGATTTAAATGTTGTTAATATATTTCTCAAATTTTTTAATGATATAAGAGATTGAAGATATTTAATGAAACAAAAGTGTGATTGCATTTTCTAGTTTGTCTAGAAATTCTAAAATTATATGAGAATTATATTTTTTGCTGAGATATGTAAATTACATATGATCATCTTTTCCAGTAAGTGACTTTATTAGCTAATTCATTTTCGTGTGATAATAGATATTGTTGATTTTGAATGATGCTTATAGTTTTGTTATTTGATTTGTCATTTGAGTTTTTACAATTGAGTTTCATATTTATGGCAGCACTAGCTTCATTTCCAAGTAAATTTTTACTTGGAAATGAAGCTAGCGCTACCATAATTGTCACCAGTGAGAGGTACAGGTTGATAACTAATTTTTTGTATAGTTAATTAATTACCCGACAGATAATTTTTTAAAATTTTAAAGCATTTTACCATATAGTTTCTGAGTTATGCTTAATCAAAGTTGACTATTTTTAGCATAGGCTTAATGGCACCGCCTCGAAAAATGTTATTGTTACGATGAAAACGTTGCTGTAGATAAATAACCCATTTGAGAAACTGCTCAAATTTTAGGCAAGACTAATTTGTGTAGAAATATGTTATATGTAACAATCTGGAGAGGATTGACCAACTATGATTAAAGATATTAATGTTAAAAAGCTCTCTTTTTTCTAATAATCTTTTATTACAGAAATTTTTCTGTATTATTTCCCGTTTAAAAGTTATAAGCAATACCGTCCTAAAGAGTCTCATAAGAAATACCACCTAAAAATCACATTAGCGGCAGAAGGATCAAGTACTTGTTGGAAAATAATTAAATGTTCATTGTTTAAAGTGCATAAATATCATTAAGAATAAATAATAGGATTAAACTTATAAAATGAGGCAAAGCTTTCATACTACATATCGAGGGCGTCATATCAGAAGGGCGTACGAACCAAATCTGAAATTTTACAGGCATATACCTTTCTGATATTATAGTTTTGCAAAATTGGTTCATACACCTAAGTAAAACTTGTTAGAATAGAGTGTTGATGTTTACGAATATATACGCCCTTCTGATATATTAAGCGAATTGATTAAATGAGGTCATACGCCCTAAAAACCCAAAACCAACTAAAGTGGCTCTTACGCCCTTCTGATATGACGCCCTCGATATATATTATAATCTATTCTCTATATGATCTCTTATTTCAAGACACATATCCAATCTTTGCCTAACTTGTTTGTGGGCTGCATTTATTAACATTTCTTCATCGTTTAACTCATTACAAGCGTTCGTGATTTTTTCCTTCAAATGATTAATGTCCCGTGAAGGTGTTTTGTAAACCTTATTTTTTAAAACCCCCCATAAAAAAAATCGAGGGGTGTTAGATCTGGGGACTTTCCGGGCCACTGAACAGGTCCATTAAGCATAATCCTGGCCTTATGGGGTGCCCGTAGTGCTGAAACCATAGGTTTCTCTTTAGCTGCAAATACACCTCCAGAAGTGCAGGAAGTTCTTGTAGGAAATTTGGGTAACTCACGCTGTCCAATATATGTTCATAAAAATAAGGCCCAACTAAATGCCTACCGATGATGCCGCACTATACATTTACTCCAAAATGGCCTTGGTTTTGGACTGGATTTACAATGTGGGGATTTTCAGTGGAGGGCAAAATATGATGTGTTCATAGTGTTCTTTGCGCCTGTTTGGCGAACCATTACTGATAAACCGACTTTCGCCCATCCAAAGAATGTGCCGAAAAAGGTTCTGATCAACAGTTTCTACATTTACTACAATTTGTGCTATAAAATTAAGTCTTTTTTCAATGTGACTCTCAGGCAAATACTCCAAATTGTGAATTTTGTAGTCATGATACCCATTGGTCTTTAACATTCGTTGAACAGCTGATTTATCCAAATTCAATTCCCGGCCAGCCTGCCGTATAGAAGTTCCTGGATTTTGTTCTAGCTGTATTAACATTGTTTCTTAGCCTTCGGTCAATTATTTGATTTTTCCGAACAGAAAATGCATCTTCATGTGGTCGCAAGGTCGCCTCCAATCTTGTAAAGGTTCTATGATCAGGAATGAGGCGCTCTGGATACCTTCTTCAATATAAATAATAATAATAATAATAATAATAATAATAATATCTCTACTCCTCATTCTAACTACGAGAATTAGCCCATAAGTCGGAGACTTGTGCGGGCATATTATTATTAGGCAGGCCGCATTTGCGCCCAGGAATGACTTATGTTGGTAGGCCCTAACCACCATTCAGTGCAGGAATGAGGGAAACCTGGAAAACCTCATTAATTAGGGGAGTGGTCAAATGCCAACCGGTGTCAATCTCTCACATTGACCCAAGCCAACATTCTTCCACCCTACCATACCTGCACAGAGGCTGCCAATCCTCCGTACAAACATAGCTAATCTATGGTCTACCGGCCACGGGAATCGAACCCGGGCAGAAATTTTCACACGATTTAATGACTGATGCCTTAAACCGTGCGGCTATCGACAGATCTACAGCTCTTCTTGAATTTTTTATGACTCACCGTAAATTAGCAACGTATCAACTTTTTCTGAATGAGAGAACATTTTGTAAGCACAAAAGTTATATGTTTGACGTTCGTATTGAGTAATGATAAGTATTTTGTGACATTTATGTACTTCAAACAATGAACATTCAATTATGTTCCAACGAGTACTTGATCCTTCCACCGCTAATGTGATTTTTAAAAATTTCTCTAATAAAAGTTTATTAGAAAAAAGAGCTTTTTAAAAGGAAAAAAATTTGGGTATGTTTATGGAAAAATATAATTGATGACGTCATTAGTCGTTTCTGTCAAATCCGAAAAATACTACTTTTGATTGAAAATGGAGCTTGCCTTATCCCATTTAACACCACGTGTCCCAAATTTTATTTAAATTTTTTGTATCCTCACAGTAGGCCCATACTATCAAGTATGAGACAACCAGTACAAAATTTTGAACTAAAACTTTTTTCGTTTCAGTTTCCTTTTTTCGTTTAAAGGAACTAATAAAATAAGTCAAACAGTAAGGACGATTCCTCCAAAATTTTTGCAAAACTTACCAAATGCATCCACTATATTTAATCTAACCTTGTGCCCTGTAAATATCAGTTTCCATCAATCTCCCTCTCACACACAGCTGCGCTCTGTACGATGTTGCCAGTTATAGAAACCACGTGACTCAAATATGAAACTTGCTCGAAAGTTTTCTACTTGAACTCTGTACTTGGGATATATTTATTTTCTTGGACAATCACTTTTGATAGATATCTTAAAGCTCTAGTAATTTTAGAAAGGTAAATTGATTCATTTAACTCCAATTAATGTTGTTTTTTTTTAGGGAAGTCAAATCATTAACTTTGTATGTTTCGTTTCAAGGTTAATTGTTTCAAACAGTCTTAATATTGATGAAAAAATGTTGAACACTGTAATAAGGTACTTGACACAAATGGCACGGAGTTCTTTGAGTTTGAGGGACCACAGCGAAAGAGAACAAGCTTGGCTGGACTTAATACATTCTAATAAGTTGACACATGTAACAACTAGGGATCTACTTAAAATGGCATTGGATTCAAAGTGTTTTAGGGTTGCAGAATATCTATATGAACATTTACATGACTATTCCAATATTCTGTCATGTTACTTGAAGGACACACTTCGCAAGACTGAAGTGTTTAATTATATATTAAACTTCATTAATGTGAGCGAAAGGTGTATACAGCAACAGTTTTTAGAACATTTTGAGGAATTAGTCGCAATAAGTAGTAAAAAGTGTAGTGAAATAGTTATTGAATTTTTTCCAAATTTGATAGAACAATTTAGTGAGATGTTGAACGATGACTTTGATCTGCAATACAACTTTTTAAGTGATATTGTTAACAGTGATATTAAACTACCTCCCCCGATTGCAGAAAAATATTTAGAACAGTTGTGTATTAAAAATAAAAGTGCCGTTCGTAACTATGTCCAGTTAACCTTTTGTAGAAAAGAAAAAGCTTTAAATATAACGAAACAGTACGAGGTGCACGATGCTACTGCTCTTCTTTTGGAACACAGCGGAGAGTGGGTCGAAGCGCTTGAATTGTTGCTGAAACACGATATGAATGAGGAAGGTATCAACTTGTGCATTCGTGGAGCAGAGCACTTAGATCCGGAAGCTGCACAAAAGCTGTGGCTGACATTGCTTCGATATAAAAGAAAGACTGAAGGTGTCACATTAAGACAACTTTTACATGCGGCAGCCCCTCATATCCATCCAACGCAGTTGTTAGAATTGGTTTCCAATGCTCATTTTGGTGATATCAAGGGTTTACTGCAAGGCATACTAAGCGATTATACTCATGATGTTCAGATGCTTTCAACTACCCTTAAATTGTTAAGCAAGGATCTTCATCATGGTAAGTTTAATATATTTTGAAAAATACAGGGTGGCAAAAAAATTGCGTTACAAACTAGTAAAACGTCAAAATAAGGGATACAGGAACACTCTGATATGTGGAGTTGGAGCCACTTCACAGATAAATTAATTTTTTTTTTAATTTTGCCACAGTTAACAAAATTCATATTTAATGGAATGTTTTTTATCTACAATGTGTTTAGCGAAGTTGGTAAGGAGGTGAAACTAGAGCCAAAAATAGTAAAAAAACTTCCTATAAACATTGACTCTCCAAAGGGGTCTTATCATTTGGATATTTTTTAAAATAACTTTCTTTCTGATTAAGATAATGGAATGAAAATTGTAGGTAATAATCATAGCATAAAGGCCAATTTATCGCATAATTAAAGAAGGATTGATCACGGTACAAAGAGGAAACGGAAAAACACAAAATTAAAGAAAATTGATGATTTTACCAGATGTAATGCGGCGCACAATTTATAATATGTATAAAGAAAATAAAGTTCCTACTTTAAACATGATTCGAGATAAATTAAGCGATTATCTTGATTATAAATATAAATCTTTAGATATTTTACGACATGCTTTATTACAATGCGATTTTAAACATAAAAAAACTTGACAATCGTATGGTAATTATATGGTAATATAACTTGGAATATAGTATATCTAGACGAGGCAGGGCAAAATTTTTCTGGACGTCTATGGATTCTGTAGAATTTATGAGTTAAATGTTTTTATGCGGTTCCAATTGAGATCGTAATAGCTATAACAGAAATTTTTCCAATTTTTTATTATTTAATGATTTATTTATGATAATTTATTATTTTTTAATGAACTGTTTTGAAGAAAATATGTCTACTTTTTTCTTCCAGTTCTGCGTAGTTTAGACAGAAATAATTATTTTTTAAATAATGTATGGTTCAGAACAGTAACTTTTTTTTAACATTTTCAAATAGTAGGCATATTTCATGGTGACAGTTCCATTGTAATGATACTAATGATTGTCACTATAGCGTGCTATCATTTAAATTCTTACGTTTCTTAATTGTGGTCTTTGTGCTTGACTTTGCATTTCATTCGATTTTTCTACAACCATGCACCATCATGCTTTTACTAACCGTGAATATGCCAATACGAATTTCATTTATGGTTTCTGTAATGGTAACAGTCTGGCGGGTCAAAAAGAGTATCGGCAACATATGCCTGATAGAAGGCAACCTTCTGCAAGATTGTTTGGGAAAATTCATGCATGAATGATGAAATCAGGAGCCCTAACTCCAAGATGTCATGAATTTGGTCGTCCAAGGAGGCGTAGGCATGATTTAAATGAAGTAATTTTAGGATTTTTTTAACATAATCCTACTGTGAGTGTAAGAAGAGCCTCTGCTCATGATGGTTCATGGTTGTAAAAAAATTGAATGAGATGCAAAGTCGAGTGCAAAGATCACAACTAAGAAGATAAAGAAACATAAGAATTTAAACGATAACACGCAAAAGTGACAATCTTTAGTATCATTACAACGAAACTGTCATCATGAAATATGCCTACGATGTGAAAATGTTAAAAAAAAGTTACTGTTCTGAGCCATACATTATTTAAAAATTAGTTATTTCTGACTAAACTAAACAGAAATCGAAAAAGAGTAGAGAAATTTTTTCTTAAAAAAAGTCTTAATTCATTAAAACCTGTTAACCTACAATTTTTATTCCATTATCTTAATCAGAAAGAAAATTATTTAAAAAAATATTCAAATGATAAGACCCCTTTGGAGGGTCAATGTTTATAGGAAGTTTTTTTACTATTTTTGGCTCTACTTTCACCTCCTTAAATTTTGTACCGACTTTTCCAAATACCCTCTATAATATTAAGGACAAAATAGTAGCCCCATTAGATACTTTTAGGCCCTAATTCGGAGCATTGATAGTAATTCATAATATAGCTACTAGGTTTTGCCATAGTGTGGCATAATCGACTTTGCTGATACAAAATTCATACACATTTCTAGATTGCACTTTTTTGGTAAAGCTGAGGTTTTTCATCACAATTTGCATATTTTCAACTTTTTCCGAATTCTACTTGAAAATTCGACAATTTTGGACAATTCTAAATAAAAAAGATTCTCTTTTTGGGTATAAATAAATGTACGAGGCACATCCACAAAATAAGAGTACTCAATTTTTTAAAAATCAAAACAGCAGTATATTTATGAAAAATTTACATAATCAGATAAGTACATCAAACACTATTTTTCGAGATGATCGCTGTGTACCTCAATGCACTTTGTGAGCCGAGGAATGAACTTTCTGATGTCTTCGAAAAAGAAAATCTCCCGCCGCCTCTCAGGCCCATTGTTTCATGGCACTGTGGATCTAATCGTCGGTAGAAAATCTTTTTCCACCCCTAAGCACATTCAGAGAATGGAGAAGATGAAAATCTGAAAGTGCCAGGTCAGGGCTGTGAGTGGGATGGTTGATGTTGTTTCAACCGAATGAATCCAAGAGTTGTTTTGTGGATTTGGCTGCGGATGTGCATTGTCATGCAACAAGCACACTTTCTTCGTTAACATTCCTCATATTTTGTTCTGTATCGCCCTCCATATTGTTTTCAGGGTTCCTTCTTCTTCTTCCTAGTGGTTGGTCCTAATAAGTCCCATACCACCGCGGCCTAATTAGGCCTATTGTGCATCCCACTACTAGTCCTATTCAGCAAGTAGTTTTGTCCTTTTGACAAAGTTCAAAAGCTTCCTTGCTGTAGTTTTGTCCTTTTAACAAAGTCCAAAAGCTTCCTTGCTGACACTTCTCTCAGTTCCTTGGGTTCCAAATAAGGTCTCCCCAGAAGCGCCATTCTGCTACGTGCAAACCCCGGGCACACGCCCAGGATATGCAGAGAAGTTTCATCCGTCGATTCATATCCTCCACAGACGGGACTGTCTACAAGCTTTAGCGTATGTAGATGTTTCCTAAAGTGACAGTGTCCCGTTATGAGTCCTGTCACTCTTCCGAGCCGAATTTTGTTCAAGCTCAGTAAATCGTCTGCTCTTTCCTTCAAAGGATACTCCATGAGCTCCTTAGAATGGCTATGTCCTGGCCTTGAAGTCCAGTATTTCCTGTGTTCTGTCTCAGTCCATTTGTCCAGAGCCCGCCTGACCACACTGGGAGATGTGCCACAGAAGGGCTCCGGGCCAATGAACTTTGTCTCGGATCCCTTCCTAGCAAGTTCATCCGCTTTCTCGTTTCCACAAATGTCTTTGTGCCCTGGCACCCAACACAGTCTAACTGTATTATTGGTGGCCAGTTCAGTCAGCATTTGTAAATAATCCCACACCAGTTTTGAACTTATCTTGTGTGCGCCTAAAGCTTTAATTGCAGCTTGACTATCAGAGAATATATATCTGAGTTTACGTTTATAACCTCTACGTACATTCTCTGCCAGACACGCCATTATCATGAAAATTTATGCTTGGAATACGGTAGGAAACTGCCCCAGAGTGTAGCTTGCACTCCATCTGGGTCTGAGTCCATATATTCCTGCATCCGTTCCTCTGGTAATTTTGGAGCCATCTGTAAACCATACTAGGCTCCACCTTTCCAGGGTATTAAACCTTTCCTCCCATTTGCTTTGATCCTCTATTCGAGTCTCAAATGGCTTGTGGAAGTGAAACCTTGGAACCATCTTGTCAGATACCATCTCAAAAGTTGGTTCCGATATAGATGTGTCCCTGATCCTGGAATAGGAACTACCCCTCCAGTCGTTGTTATTCCTGAGTCGATATGCTGCTAGCCGCGCTTCTCTTTCCACCGCTATATGCAGTGGTGGTAGATTTAGCATGAGTTCTAATGCAGTTGTCGGGGTCGATGCCATCGCCCCCGTTATACCGAAACAGGCCAATCTCTGAATTCTATTCAGTTTTTCCCTCGCTGTGGTCTGTTGTGTTTTTGCTAATGTACTACAGTGCCATAGAGAATCCTAGGTCTTACTATTGATGTATACAACTAGTATCTCATCTTTGGTTACAGTCTCCAGGTGCTTCCAATAAGGCGACGGCATATACACAATGTCTGCTTCGCCACGTTCGTTGATTTCCATGCCCGCGGTATATAACCAAGTGCAATGCTGGCTCTGAAGATGTGATTTAAAATGGGAGCTAAGCAGTCCACCCCCTGCTGTAACAGTACGGGTAGGATTCCATCGGCTGTTGGTGATTTAAATGGGTCAAAGGAACTTATTGCCCATCTTATTCGTGACTGACTCACTAGTCATAGTTCACTCACAGTTCTGTCGAGACCTGGTCATAACCCTCTGCTGGTGATCCCAGTCATGTTCATCTCCGTGGTTTAATAACCTGGAGCCTGGAAAGTGAGTATTTAGAAGTAATTCCAATGTCTCCCTTCCAGTTTTAATGTATTCTCCACTCGGTGCTTTAAGGGACCCGAGTTTCGTATTACCGTTCTTAGAGAGAAGTCTTTGGAGTTTAGCACACTGTGGGACACTATCAATATCCTCACAGAACTTCCTCCATGAGTCTCTCTTCGCTCTCCTAATTTCTTTATTATACTCAGTGAGGGTTGCTCTATAAGCCTCCCACTCTCCTGTCCGCTTTGCTCTATTAATTAGTTTCCTTGTCTGTCCCCTTAACTGTGTGAGTTCCTTACTCCATTAGGTTACGGTGTGCTCGTCGGAACTCACTTTGATAGGACAGCTATATTCATATGATCTTGTGACGGCGTGACAGCCCTCTCAAGATCATATGTGTTCCTTAATTTTATACAGATTTCCCTAGTCCTGACCTGCAACTCCGTTCTATAGGAATCCCAGTCAGTTCTTTTCGGGTCTCTGTAGGTTCTTACTTGCGGATTATAATCCGTTATGATTTCAAAGTGGATATGTCTATGATCTGACATTGACGGCTCACTCGACACATGCCACTTTGCAATATTGTTACATACCGGTCCCGATCCCACCGTTATATCGATGACTTCACTCCTATTTTTTATAACAAAGGTGGGCTCGTTCCCGACATTCAAAATCTCTAGATTATAACTAAAAAGAAAATCTAGTAAAGACTCACCTCGATCGTTCACATTGCTGCTTCCCCACAACGTATGGTGTGAGTTGGCATCACATCCCAGGATGAGTTTCTTCTCCTTCTCGCACCAAGTCACCAGGTCCCTCAGTTCCCTGGTTGGAGGAGATTCTTTCTTATCAAAAGGGAGGTACGCTGAGCAAATCACCAGTTGTCTCTGCGTTCCCTTGATACATAAGTTACTTCGGCCACCACAAAAATGTTAATATTACTCTTGTAATAAATACAAGCCGTAGGTCTAGTTTGGTGGCTACAATACAGTAGGGCACCATTACTTACCTCGAATCCTCTAATCTGGGATCCATGTACCCAAGGCTCCTGGATCAAAGCCAAATCCGCATTTGCAAGCACCACACTGGCACAGAGAGCAGCAGATGCCGCTCTACTGTGCTGAATATTCGCTTGTATCACGTGGAATTTGACCAGATAATTCAGATTTTGGTCCTTCCTGATCTTCATTAGAAGGTCCCAAATCTACCCTGACCTTCTCCAGGTTCCTAAAAAAAACCCTGGTGAAGTTCAGAAATGGTCTGAAGCCCTCCTTCTGCAGTACCTTCACACTCAACTCATCTACTGAGAGGACAAGGGTCTGGCCCTTCTCCTCAACCTTGCGGTTGTTTAGCCTCCAGGCCCCCGTCCTCAATTCCCCGTTCTGGTTTTCCAGACGGCGCATGATGGTTTCCGGTTCATCAGGATGACCCGGAATCCATACGATAAACTTAGTGAATTTAGGTAGGTTAGGCTCAACAGCGCTGAGTCTAGCCCCCTCCCAAGGCACCAAGCTCGCCGTAGTTGTTTTTAGCCATTGCAGGCTCTCCTCGTTGAAGGCGGTCATCGCTAGCGTTCCCCCCCTTCGACAACACTCCAGGAAACGCGGTCGTGTACCCTCGCTCTTGATCCTATCAATGGCCCCCAGAAGCGCCAACTGGACAAGTCCCATCTGGTCCTCATCCATTCGGACTTCTGGGTATCCATGGGGGACCACCACTGCTTGGATCCCCGACAGCGCCTCCCCGTACGTCTTACCACGCTGTCCCGTGGCCTTAGGCCTCTTAGAAACAGGCCGGTCAGAAATCGGCTCACTACCGTCCGACCGCCCACGTTTCATTCCGAGTCCACTTGGCCCCTGTTCGGCTGCCTGCGGTGTTGTAGTGGTACTCAAGCCAAGTTCCGTCACCGGCCCCTGTCCTTTTCCCACCTCTGCCTTCCGCAGTTTTTTAAGTTTGCGCTTTTGCGCACCCGACAATTGTTTTCTACCTTCCAGGTTCAGTCTATCGACTCCCCTAGAGATGGCAGTCGCTGGTGTTTGCTTCCCAGTGACTGTCTTATTTTCTGCCTGGTCAGCTCTTTCTGCTTCCCTGGCAGATGTGGACGGCCCCCTTTCGGGTTCCTGTTTTTTATTTTCTCGGTCCATAAAGGTCCCACGAGTCTGGAGGAAATAAAAGTCACCGCCAGGCAGTGCCCCATACCTGACGGAAGGCTAAATACGATGGGGTGCGCCAGGTTCCCCAAAGAGATCGTTTGCGATGTGACATTTTTACCTACCCCCACACCATTCAGCCCTTGGCACAATGCATTTCCACCTTGGCTTGGGTAGCTGAGCTGTTTCTTAGTTTTCACTACTCTCCCTCGACCTTTCCGGCTTGGGTGACCCTGCCAGGAGTATAAAACTCCCGCCGGTTTAGCTCTTGGGTTCACTGTAGCTACTTAAGCCCCTCCACCAACGACAAGGTCATACAGCTCCCAGGAGGGGTAAAGGGGTAGGTGTTTTCAGGGTTTCACAGTATGTTACTGTACAATACATCCAGGTTTCCATTCTCTTCAAAAAAATTTTTGATTTCCATTTTATTACTCAATATATCGCTAACTTGCGATAATAAATTGTGGCACGAGTTTGCAGACATTTAAATTATGTTTTTCGCTGGCTGTAATAACGCTAATATTGTCTTGAATAGATAAACTCTTTCTTTTTGCGGAACATGACGCTATAAAAGGTGAATGTATATAACTACACCACCCACCATCTAATTTCTCTTAGCGTACAACTAATTTTGCAATCACTATATTGCCACTATTTATATTTTTATATGTATATAGCTGGCCCTTTGAGAAAAACAAGAGTAGATAGGGGTGTAATAAAATTATTAGGTAGCTCCAAGTCATTTGCCGGAATTAGATGAACAATAGTTAGATAGTCTTCATGTTAATAAAACCCCACTGAAAAATCTTATCAAAGCAGAATTGTCGCTTATTTAGAGGTGGATATTATAAATGTTTCTTGTAATAATATCTTGCATACCTCAAAAGCTTTCATAAATTCTGTTGTTTATTTATTTTTTTATTCGGCATTAATTTTACAGTGTGAACGTTTAGAAGGGAAATCGTAAATAAAATACGCCCTGTATAATTTACGCAAAAACACTAGGACACGTCAATTGGCTTGCCTATTGTCAAAAAGCAGGAGGATTACAATTCGGGCACCTTATTTAATTAGTTTTCATTGTGTTTGTTATATCATTTTGTCATAATAAAATTTTTTTTTTCAACTAGTTTTTTTGCTCCTTTTTTTCATTTTTCTAAACTTTGAAGCCTTTTACCTCGAAAACTATCAACTTTAAGGTCATAGTGTTGCATACTGCCATTTTCAGGAATGTTTTAGATTAAATAAAACAACTGGATGTCCCATTTAAAAAAATGTCGTGGTGTCATAATCGAAATAATGGTGTCAAAAGAAGCACAAATGAAATTAAAAATTGACGTGTCTGAGAGTTTTTGCATAAATTATACAGGACAGGGCGTATTTTATTTACGGTTTCCATTCTAAACGTTTGCACTGTATTTTGACATTAGTTATAAATTTATGACAATATCTAACACCTGCATTTTTCCCTTTCTTAAGTTTTATATTTTATTTTTAGGCCTTGCAAAGTCTTTAGTTTCAAGCGGTAAGGGTACCCTAATATCAAACCTAATCTGCAACTCCTGTCAGAAGTCTTTAACTTTCAGAAAAGAACTAGAAAATGACGAAACTATTACTGCATGGAGTTGTGGTCATTGTTTCCATTTATCTTGTGTTAAAGCAGCCGAAGTTAAAAACATTTGCCCTCAGTGTCGGTTAAGAGCCGTCTTACTCCCTATTAAAAAAACGAAAATTAGTAGCCAAGAGGGCTTTCATCTTAACTTTAATATTCGCCCTGATTTGGAGGGCCATTTTTAATACAAACTAGTCCAATTAGCAGATTGTTTATATATATGTATATATATATTATGTGGCAGTAGTGAGTATTTGAAATATATTTTCTTAAGTACTGTTACATTGTATGTAACAATCCTAACCGATATTTTTTTTGAATGTATAAGTTGTGAAATCAATTATGAAAAATGTACTATTAGGTATTTGTGTTGAATATTTTTTCCCTTATACTTATTTTTTCTTTATCAAACATAAAGCATTTAAACTTAAAAGCAATTGACTTTACGGGAAGAATTGTTTAAGTAAATGAAGGTCTGATATAGTTTCAAGATTAGTTATGAAATATAAAAAAGACAAAATTCTGTATACACATTTAAAAAATATTTACAAAAGTTTTGAAATGAAATTTAATTTGTTAATGGAGTACAATGTAATATTTAGTAGACTCCAAACACATCTGATGAAACTTTTATTAAAAAAAAAACAAACAATCTATTTAATGATTGAGATATTTATACTATTCTGTAATTTTCATATATTGGTAGAGAGGAATGTTTGTGTGACATATGGGTACTTTTCTAAAAAAATTAATTTCGATTCACCTCGAGAATCTGAATGAAAGCGCTCGAAGTTCTTCCAAAAAAATTGAAGGAGCAATCTGTCATCTGAATTTTCTAAACTACAGCCCTCTCTGAATAGCAAGTTTTTATTTTCCCAAATAGAATAAACTTACACCCACTCGCTCTGTGATGTACCACGTCAAAGCTATTTTCCAGGGCATTTTCAGAGCAACTGAACCAAAACCAGCATTAATATTTACAATGTGTCTTGAAATTCCATTCATATGTTTGGAAGGGTGATTCTACATATGAAAACATGAAAAAAAAGTTAATTTGAACATTTAAGTCTTAAAATGTGTTATAAAAAATAAAAAAGCTATGATGCTGAATATGGGTTTTTGTTTTACATCTTTAGAATAGTATTTTTTAAGTTGGCAGTTATTTTCGATTTTTTTTTTAATCTGAAAATTCATATTCAGGCATGTTTTTGCATAAAAATGTATTATAAAAATTCGCCTATGAAATAGTTTTTCAGAAAAGCTTTTCAAACGAAATTGTGTTCATTCGTTAGGTAAAAAAATATAAAAGTAATCATTGAGCAGTCTTAAATTTAAAGGAATAATTTTTTTGAGTAAACAAATACAATTATTATAATTTTTTAGTAAAATTCTTTCTGATACCCTAAGTTATATAAACCTAAACAGTATATTCAATGGTGATACATTAGCCTGTTTTGATGCCTTTATTATGTAATTTAATCGATGCGAGTACATATAGCTTTTTTTTTGGAAAACTATTAGCCTTGTGAATTTTTACAATATGTACTCATTTTAAGTAAAAAATGCTGCTAAATCAAAATTTTAAGAGAATATAAAAAAATAGGAGTCAATTGGCTATATTGACATGTTCATGTTAATATTTAAGTCAGTCTCAATATACAGGGTGTTTGCGAAAGGTTGGGAAATCTCGAAGCAGGAGATACTGGTGGCCAAAATAAATCGATTGAGACAAATGTGCTGGTTTAAAGGTACAGGACGTTCAATGTTTGAATTATTTTGAAATTTCTCAATAACTTTGAAAATTGTCAGTCTGAACAAAAAAATTGGCACTATTATGTTTTTTGACATTACAACTAAGAATGTTTAATTCATTTTGGCTTTGCTGGTAAGGGGGCGTCAGTTGTGCCCTTCTCCTCTGATAGATAGGGGAAAACTTTTTTTGCCTTTAGAATTACGGACATTGTGTATTGAAAATATGAAAGAATGTCCTTCATTTGATAAAAAAGTTACTCTTGTTTGTTTTCGATATCTCCCTTGGTTATCGAGATATTTGCATATACAAATTTCAATGCACTTCGTTTTTAAGCAACTTTTAATCCTTAAATTAAACTAATGCGATTTGACAACTAGTGTATGATTCAAATTATTTAGTTTTCTATAAAATTACTTAAAGGGAAAGAAAAAATTGATCAAAACATTTGATTTATTTTTTATTTCCTAGCTATGGTGGAAAATCCTAAACTGTATTAAAAAATGTCATAACGGAGTAGTAACACTGTGTGGAGATATTTTTCAGAACCACTTGATTAGTCAGTTATGATATTTTTTTAATACAATTTAGAATTTTCCACCATAGCCAGGAAATAAAGAATAATAGGTATGCCAATGATTTGACCAATTTTAATTTTCCCTTTAAGTTGTTTTTTAGAAAACTCTAAATAATTTAGTTCATACACTAGTTGTCAAGTCACATTAGTTTAAGTACATATAATAAAAAGTTGCTTAAAAACAAAATGTATTGAAATTTGTATAAGCAAATATCTCGTTAACCAAGGGAGATATCGAAAATGAACAAGAGTATTTTTTTATGAAACAAAGGATGTTCTTTTATATTTTCAATACACAATGGCCGTAATTCTAAAGGCAAAAAAAATTTCTTCTATTTGTCAAAGGAATAGGGCATAACTGACGCCCTATACAAGCAATGGCAAAATTAGTTAAAAATTCTTATTCGTCCTGTCAAAAAACATAATAGTGCTAATTATTTTGTTCAAAGTCTATGGCAGTGTAAAACCACACTGTTTACCAATAAATTCGTGAGTTAATTCATGAAGAACTTCGTCTATTTATTCATGAATAAATTGTCAATGTAAAACAGCTATAAGGCATATTTGGCTTAATCGACTTATTTTGGCCACCAGTATCTCCAGCTTCCAGATTTCCCAATCTTTTGCAGGCACCCTGTATATATAAAAAAAACTTATTTTCAGTAGTTATCTTTAAACAACAATACTCTTTCATAACTTATTTTAAGACTTATGTTAATATTAAATTTTCTCCCTTTTTCAATTATGTAGAATCATCACTCTAAATATGTTAACGAATTTCTGTACTCCCTGTATTTGCTTTTCATTTTCTAAAGTAAATTTGATTAATATATCTATTTTGGTTATATTATCTAAAGAAAAATAAATATTGAAAGTCATGTTTTTACTAGAGTATCAACGAAATACTGAAATTGATTGTTGAACTATTTTTGAACCAAAATGGTAGTTGGTGAATAAAATTTGTTATCAAAGCTTTAATTTTACAAGCTTTTTTTCTATTATGAGGGTTGCCTTTTATATTTCAGCAATAGAAAATAAAAAATAGAAACTAATCAGCGTATATGACTTTATTGTTTTTCAAAATATTCTCCCTGAAGATCAATAGACTTTTTCCAAGCACTTTCCATTCTGATTGAGGTACCTCCAAAACAAGCATTTTGAACGCACCAACTGCTTCTTTAAGCGTTAAAAAACGACCTCCTAATTTATTTTTCATGTACGGGAATAGTCATTTAGTGCCAAATCAGGGCTGTACAGCAGATGACTCATCAATTCAACTTTTTCAGTTCTTAAAAAGACTCTTGCTTGAGTTGGTGTGTGAGAACTCACATTTTCCTGGTGGAGAATGATGCGTTTTTGGCCGTTGGTTTCCCTTATTTTTCCGAAGACTTCTGGTAAACAAATGGTTGTATACCATTTAAATTCATCGATGCACTGTTGTTGAAGTAATCCATGTCAAAAGTTGCAAAAAATAATCACATGGAAATGTTCACAAATTGATTCCATTTTTTGTCCGAGATGAATTTTTCAACTCACTGTAAACAACACAGCGCCACATAGTGCCTGTATGTCAAAGCGTTCTGAATAAGTATACTGACAAAAAGTTGAACTTTACGATCGGTTGTCAGATGGCAGCACCAGGATCACACATTCCCGAAATATAAAAGGCAGCCCTCGTATATTTGAAAAACACAAATTATTGTAACTGTTGCAGTTTCTTAATTTATTTTAAGAGTAAATTCCAAAAAAAAAAGATTCATGAGCACCTTCTTTTGGGTAAAAAATGGGTTTGCAATACTCTCAATATTGAGACTATAACCTTCAATTTTTATATAATTTGCATTTGTTAAAGAATTCTGCAAAATAGTATCTACTGTTGGTATGTAGCGTGGTTTTGACTGATTAGTTTTTTAATTAATTGCCTAACTGTTGTAAAAGTGTGACCAGCTTACAATTTTTTCTTACTTATTATTCTTTTTACGTACGATATAATTAAAAGTTTTAAAACAACACGAAAGTATAATATTTTTATATTTATACAAATGTTTTTAATAATATATTACCGAATTTGTTTCTTATAGGATATGTATGCCTATATATGTATTTTATTGAATTGAATGGCTGTGATTAAAATCATTTCCTTGCATAAGGAATCTAGATCGAAATTTGTATAAATAAGTACAAGTTACTTCTTTGGAAGTTAAATACGTCATTATTGGAAAAAACATGCTACATGTTTCAAAATATGTTTTTTAGATGTTGTTAGATTTTTGTTGGATTGTTTGTAAGAAATAAAATAAATACACACTATTGACACATAATTCATATTTTAGTATCCCTATTCTTTGTATGTATGTATATTTATATATTTTTTTATTTATATAGTAAAATATGTGTTAAAACTTCTATTATTTATAAATTAAGATAATTCAATCAAATAAACGACTGTAATTAAATAAATTAGTACTGAATTTGATTATTGTCTGTAATCTAAATATACCTGTTTTATCTTGGTTTTGCCATTTTAGTACTATTTCTCATTACATGTTGAATTAAGTGCGTTATGAAATTAAAATAAAAAATTATAAAAAACATTCTGACACTAGAAGTGATTTATACTGGCCACAGACCAAGTACGCAAATAGACCACATGATATATCGTCAGTAAAAGCAATTAATTTGGGTCATTCCAGTTGAAAAAAAAAAGTTATTCGTCTTCTAAGATTGTCAAATGTAGGGCTTAATATTTCCGGTCCTGTTTTTTTTTTTCCAAAAACGTAAAACAGAAAAATGTTGCTGAAACGAACTGACTCAACTACATATTCCTAACTCTTTTAGTTTAGATGCTACTTAGATTTATTCAGTGCTGAAATCGTGATTTTTTTCAAAAACAATCGAATATCTCAGAAATGGCGGGTTCTATGGTCAACAAAGTCAACCTAGAATTAAGCGAAGAATATGAAAAAGCACATATACATGGTGTTTCATTTAAAATAAAGAAGTTATGTATCATCCAGAAGAAACGGAGCACTCTGTATAACTGAAAATATTTTACAGGAATGCCCAATATAATTCCAGACAACTTTAAATAAAACATTCTTTTTTTAAATTTAAAGTAACAGATGTATGAAAAAATCTGCCTTAGGTGAAACACCTACTATATACGGGGTGATTCCACTTTAAATACAGAAACTGCAGGAATAGTTAGTTGTCAAAAATTGCTCTATAAACTTTCTTCCTGGGGCAGTGGTATTCAAGATACAGGGTTTTCAAGTTTCCAAAAAAATTATATGTTCTGTCATATCTTAATAATGCGCTGAATGATTTGAATGAAATTTACTACAGCGTATTCACTTCATTAAACCTTTTACTGAATTCTCAAGTATTAACGCAAACCAGTGACTTTGAAATTTCGACTTTCATCCAGCTTTTTCGGAGTTCCGACTAATGTGCAGTGGTATAAATAATACTAAAATGATTTTCGTTTAATTTGTATTCATAGCTTTAGTAAGTTGTTCTTACATAAAAGTTAGGGATAAAAAAGACAACATAATCATACACGTTAGACATTTGAAACAAATCTTGTATCATCTTTAATATAATGAAAAGAATAAAAATAATTAAAATATTGTGCAAAAACACCAACAAAAAATATTGATACATATATTGGACAAAAATATCTACAAACGCATATCATGGCTTAAATACTAGTTAATGTTCTAGGCAATAGAATGGAGATATGGCAGTCCAGGTGATGATGTACTTCATTTAAAAAATTTTTAATTTCTTAAAATTACTATCATATGAATAAGCCAGGACATAATAGGATACTTTCACATTTTTTTTTAGTTCAAAAATAAAAAGTACTTAAGCCATATATAAATAATGAAAACTTTTTTTGTTTAAAAAAAATCTATAATAATTTTAAAACAAGTTTAAGTAAAACATTTGGCGCGAAAAACGCCTAATCGAGACTGGTTGCCTATACTATTATTACTATTATGACATAGAACTCATATTAACAAAGCCAAGTACAGCCAAGCACAAGTAGACTGTCGAGGTTATTTATATTTACTCCTGTGTTTATCGATATTTTGCTAAGTTTATTTACTTTTTTAAATAATAAACTATATAATACAAAAAGTAAGACATGTACGAATCACAAAATAAGTGGTGTTTTGTGCCCGGATGCAAAAATACTTCAATAAGTGGCCCTAATAAAACATTTATAAGTGTACCGCAGAATTATTCACGCAAAGTTAAATGGTTTAAAGCAGCCAGGCGGGATGTTCCTACATCAAAGTCAACATTTTTTTGTTGCGAGGAATCATTTTAACGTAAGTAAATATTAAGGACAATGTTCTAAATTTAGAGGTTAATTTGTATTAACAAACTTTTTTATTGCTTTAGAAGTAAATATTTTACACTCGCTGCAATCTGTTGTAAATATTTATTTATGTATTATTGAAATATATATAATCTTGTATATTATTGTATACATGGTATACTTATTTTTTTTTAGCTTCAACAAGATATGGAAAATTTTGTTCGCTATAAACTTATCGCAGGAAAAGCTTTATTAAAACATGATGTGGTTCCACATATATTTGATTGCCAACAAGACAGAAAAAGAGCTGCATCTGCACCACATCCAACTGTTATTTTTAAAAAAACAAAGAAAACAATATAAGAAACTAAAACCTGGGGAATGAGAGAACCAAATGTTGAATAAGAATTTTTACCAACGGTAATGGATTTTGATGGGCCCAGTACAAGCTCAGGTCAAGCCAGGTTAGAAATGGATGAATATATTGTGGAAAATACAAAAGCAATTGGAAAGGTTAAAAGTGTGGGGATACAGGCGAAACCACATGTTCGTAGTAAATATGTGTCATGTAAAATTAAACCTGATGTGTACCATGAAACTTCCTCGCCGGAAAAATTTATGACACAAGATGCTTCCACTTCACCTCTAAAAAATATTCGATCTGTTAAAAAAGGCAGGTATATAACTTGACAGACCATCTGCCATTTATATGACGTCATCAATGTCATAACCAATGAGATGATGTTTTACAAATCATTTTGAAATTTGAATTTTATACAGGTTTTTATTATTAAATATTTAGTAAATTCTCATGAAATAGGTAATGTAAACTCGTTTAGGTGTTTACGTAAATGTTATAGTATGTATTAAAATACAGTTCTAGGTAAATTTTTATATATAGAATGTTATTATACGTATATACGTACGTTTATGTACATATACCGTTGTTTTATTGGTTTGAAAACTTTGAAAACTTAAAACATACCAAAAATGGGCCCGAATCATAAAAATTTTCAAATAAATAAAAGTATATTTTGTAAATAAATTAAGTTTGTAATGATATAAATATTAAATTTGCACAATAAAACGTCTCAACTGTCAAAACTGCGACAAAAATTGAATTTGCAATAACTATTAAAATGCACTCATGTATCATAACAATGTTAGAAAGAATACTAAAAAGCCATTTTGTAATGTTAAATATCAAGTAAAGGTCCAGGCATTAGCACATTTAAAAAAATATCAGAATTTTGACAAGTCATCGACGGAAGATAGAGGTGTTTCACATATAAAAACGTAATATGCAATAAACCTGGTATATAAGCAAAGTACAGTATACATGTGATCAGAATTTATGTGTGGAATTAAATCTGAGCCTCTGTGAAAAGTTTCATGTATCATTTAAATGTTGACATTTTGTGTTCCGTTAAAATTTGTAAATTTCTAGTTTTAAAGTGTAGTAGTACTGCAAGATAGTATGTGCAGAGTGTAAAAGACCTTCATAACTTCATAAACTGTATTTAGACTCCAACCAATGTTCAAATTTTTGTGTAAACTTTAAAAGTTCTCGGTGAACCTAGAAATTTTCATTTGTTTAGTTTCAAAAAACAAATACTGTGTAAAATGTGAAAAAGAGGTAAAGGTAGACATTAAATGGACAGACATACAGAGAATTAAGCTGTATATCAAAATTTAGCTATAATTTGCAAAAATAAGTAAAATTTGGTCATAATTTAAAAGTTAACCTAGAAACATGCAACTGGTATCAAAAAATGCAAATAAATTCAAGGAATCTGAATATGTAAGCATCATGCAGCATAAAACATGTTAAAAATTTCATAAACGTTCGGATGATATTCCTATGGAAACGATTCTTTTGTTTTAACGACATTAAAAGTAAATTCAGGGCTCATCGCAGTCAGTCTTCCATGTATTTCCGAAGCAACAACATCGCTAGTTTGCTCCTAAAATAAACAATTGAAATCAATATAAATCAATGTTTGTGAAAAAAGATTACTTATCCAGTTATCTTTGCGGAGAAATGTCACTGACAGATATAAATGTCAAAAGCCCAAAATACACTTTTACTGAAATGCCATAAGTCTGAAAATTCATCGAGATCTACTATTAATAAGGAAAGGTGCAACACTATATTTGAACTGATAAGTGAATAAGTGCAACTTAATAAAAATAAAGTGTAGTGTTCTACGTTTGGAAGTATCCTGTTAGAGTTCATCCAAAAGGAGATTTCGGATTTCATCGTGGTAGTCTACCGCCAAGGCTATTCAAGTGTCCAGCATAACACCATATAGGACAGACAATCAACGTTACAAGACAACGCATCGTAAGTTGTAGACACACATTGGCCAATTTAAACTTACAAACTTTGAATTCAAAGTGAAAAATAATCATTGTTATAAAAATTTTCTACATATGGTAAAACAAAAATTGAATTTTGAAGCACCAACATGTTTGCAGTATAGAAAACATAACATAGCACTGTAACATTAGATATAAAACATAGCACTGTAACATTAGATATAATTTCATGTCTTCATTTATTTAGATTTTGCATAAAAAATAAAAAATTGTGAATTATAAAACCTTCAAATTAAAACCAAAAGTGTAATATACCTATATTTGTCAAATTTTAAAAATATCTCATTTAAAATCAGTTCAAGAGTGAATAAAAATAAACATAATAATAGGAACTCTCACCCTGAATTTGAGTCTCTCTACTAGTAAGTATATACATATTTTAAAAAACATAATTATATCAAGGCACCCATTCATCCATACACCCTGAATTTGATTCTTTCTCATAATAATACGTACATACGTATATGTACATAAACCTAAGGGTGGTGCTACTTGAAAATTGAAAATTAACTGCTCTATAAAGTAGGAATATTAAGGAGTGTTCCATTATTATAAATTAGTCTTATTTATTTATAATCAGTACAATTAATCACATATTTTTATACTAGTAACAATATCATTTCTTCATTCATAAAAAATTGAATTATATTGTTGTACAAAACTCATAAAGCGTTCGTCTGAAAAAGATTATGAAGAATTTATTAAGAACATGATAGATAAAATGTTACCTTTTTTAATGACGGCAGCAAAGTGAGGATTATTCCTGAAATGAGCTAATATGCTGTGTAATAAAGTGTGATTCCCGGATTTACTGGCAGCTGAAAGAAATTTCCGAGGATTCGCACTATCTTCTGCTATCTTTAAAGCCGAAACAATTTGATCTTCACTCAAAAGAATTTCTTGGATTTCTTCTTTAGCTCCGATTCTAGCCAACATATCGAGAGCCATCTGTAAAGCAGACGGATGCATATTCCCCAATGACAGAAGTAAGCAAGCCAGCGGTTTGGTATTTGATATTACACCATACTGTAAGAGTTGTTGCAATGCAGTAAATTTCTTTTGTTGAGCCTGTAAACAGTAAATTAAATATTTTTGATTATGATTAAAAATTGGAAGTATTTAAGCGTCTAAGAGAAGCAATTTTGGATTGCGGTAAGCTTAGTTAAATTGTTTTATTTTGACCCCAACAACCTTTGGTAGTTCCAAATTAGCACACCCTCTACAGGGTGTCTCACGGTGACAGCCCACTAGAATTATTTCAGAGACTACTTTGATTTGAATTTTGAACATTTGGGATACCGGGTTTTCGGGCATGCCCTTCTTAACTAAAATAATGGCATCCATGTACCACTTCCGGTTATACCGGAAGTCGCCATCAACTTGCTTATTTTAAATGGAACACCCTATATATATTTTTGCAATTTTGGATTCTACGTGTTATTTTAGGTGGACTTTTATGCAGTTTCCCTATTTCTAAAGTTAACCTTTTTTGAGATATTTAATTTTTTTCAAAAAAATGGAGAGAAACAGTGACTAGCTTCGAACCATGTGTATTTTACAGTAAGATAAAGCAACAATATTTATAGGGGGGATAGTTAGACCTCTAAGCTTCCCATCCATATTTTCAAAGTGGCTTAATTGCATACAGGGTGCTAGAAATTTAATGCCGAGTTTAGTTAACTTCAAACTTTCATAAGTCGTTTTTTTAAATGGAACACCCTGTATGCTTTTCTATATTCTGATATAGAAATATTATTATTTATTCTCTTTCGAACGGGGTCAGAGTTCGAAATGAGCAGTATAAAGTTAAGAAGAATTCTAAAAAATCAACTTCATACATAGTAATACACAATTTTAATTATGTATGTTGATAATAATAATGCACTAAGATAAAAAAAATGACTTAAAAAAGTCATAAGTGTTCAATATGACCCCCATTAACAGCTAAGCACTTGTGGATTCTAGAGATAACACCATCAGTCACCGCTTTTGCTATTTCAGCTGCCGGCAATTCATGGAACACTCTTCGTATTCGAGCAATCAAATTCTCTTTTGAGGCAACGTGTGTAGAATAAACTTTTTTATTTCTCCCCAAACATAAAAATCTAATGGAGTGCGGTCGGGAGACCTCACGGGCCAATTCCATCTATCTTCAAACATTTCAGTCAGCTGTTGATCGATTTGATTGTGACAGTGAGGTGGAGCCCCGTCTAATTGATACCAACACTTACTTAGTTGGTCTAAAGGTATATCATCTAGAAAATCTAACACAACCGTTTGCAAAATATTGAGATATCTGTCGGCATTTAAATTTTCTTTGTAGATATGGAAAGAAATTTGGTTATCTTTAATGAGACAAAAAACATATACGCTAAATTTATTTAGAGTTTCTTTACATGAGGATTTTCAGATGACCACAAATGAATATTATGGCTATTAAAAATACCTTCTCATGTAAATTTTGACTCGCCATATAATATGTTGCAAAAATTGTGGACCTTCTTGGTATCGCACCCGGATGAAGAGCAGAAAGTAGCTTAAATTTGTATGGATGCATATCATTAGTTCTTAGCATCCTGTGAATGGACGCTCATGAAATGCCTAAGTCATACTCTGCAGCACGAGTTGAGGATTCTGGATGAACATTAAAATAGGCTAGCACATTAAATTTATTACATTATCTTCATTTGAAGTTATTGGTTTTGGTAAAATACTTCTTAACTTTTTTTTGCTCATTGGTGGCAAATTTGGATATGTCTCATTAAAAACTTTACATGTTCTGCTTATAATTCCATTGCAACATACGTGAATGAATAATAAATTTAAAATATCAGCATTTGAATATGTATTGTTTTCCATTTCTTATAAACACTAAATTAAACTGTCACTGCAAGAGACTAACAACACATCGACAGTTTAGTTGTTTGTTTTAAAGTTTTACAAAAAATTCCACAGCTATCCTCGCAAGAAATTACATGATTTTATGTGATTACACAAAAAATAGTAGATAACTTAAAAAGTAGAAGAGATAGGTATAGGGAACCCTTATACAGTTCGAAAGAGAATAAAATTGTGTATCAGAATATAGAAAAACATACAGGGTGTTCCATTAAAAAAAACGACTATGAAGGTTTGAAGTTATCTAAACTCGGCATTAAATTTCTAACACCCTGTATGCAATTAAGCCACTTTGAAAGTATGGATGGGAAGCTTAGGGGTCTAGCTATCTCCCTTATTAATATTATTGATTTATCTTTCTTACTAAAATACACATGGTTTGAAGGTAGTCACTGTTTCTCCCCATTTTTTTGAAAAAAATTAAATATCTCGAAAACGGTTAATTTTAGGAATAGGGACACTTCATAAACGTCCACCTAAAATAACACGTAGAATCCAAAATTGCAATAATATATAGGGTGTTCCATTTAAAATAAGCAAGTTGATGGCCACTTCCCATATAACCGGAAGTGGTACAGTTGGCGCCACCCAAATGTGAACGGATTTTGGTTGTTATAGAAATTTCATCTGGATTTTATCGTAGTAAATCAAACTTTTCTTAGTGGCGTAACACAGAGAGGGTATACTGATGGATAAATTCGACCAAAGCAATGTCTTCCGCGTCACTGGAAACCGTCCCAACACCTTGCCTGATATATCTTTGTAATCTTTGTTCTTCTTGCCAGCGTTATTTAATATAAAATATACAACTCTTACTGACATTTAAATCAGCAGCCACTTCACTCAAAGACTTCTAATTTAGCAACAGCCCTTGCTCTTTGCACCTCAGTTAAATGCTCCTGCATATTTCACGTTACTTGTTTACATTTCATTATGTTTGCTCTAAGTGACATATATTTGACAACTACTGAATTTTACGACAACCATGATTTGAAGTTTAAATTACAAGGTACAATATTGCCGTTCACATTTGGGTGGCGCCGACTGTACGTGGCGCTATTATTTTAGTTGAGAAGAGCATGCCCGAAAACCCGGTATCCCAAATTTTCAAAATTCAAATCGAAGTAGTCTCTGAAATAATTTTAATGGGCCGTCACCGTGAGACCCCCTGTATCAATTTTGAAATCAAATAATGAAAAAATGTAAACAACAAAATTTACCAAATTTGTAATTAAAAGTTCATTAAGATTATGTTGAGGAGGTATACTGTATTCGGAAAGGGACGTCATGTAGGCGATCAACAAACATTCTATCTTCCGGAGGTCTTTTTCACAGTCCAATTTTTGAAATATTTCATTATACATATCGTCCTGGTCTATAAGCACTCGGGGCGGTGTCACACATTTTGTTGATAATGGAACATTGGCTGGAGAGGCAGAAAGATTTTGTAATTCAATTTCAAGCCAATCGCGGTACACACAATTGATGTGATTAAACGACTCTTGCAACTTATCTAGTGGCGGTCTCTCTTGTTTTATATTATCCAGTAGAACCTACAAATAGTCATAACCTTCACTTAAAAAATGGTACATACAAAGAAATTAATAGTTCGAGTACCTTTAATAAAACTGTTTTGCCATTTGTTCGTTTTAAAGTCACTTGTGTGCAAGTATTTAATTCTGAAATCTGATTGCACAATTCAGGTAAGCATAATTTAATATGCCAGAGACACCCCAATTTGGCATCAATTACGATGTTAGGTTGAAATACTACCCAGTTCGGAGAATCTAGTTTTAAAATAAGGTTAAGTACACAAGTATCAACAAATAAAAATTACCAGGTTATTTCTGCAGCAGTCTTCAACGATTCCCAATTGTCCAAAGCATAGATAATAAAAAAATTACCATTCTTCAGAACAAATCTCACTCTGATTACTGGAAATTTGGTGTTCGTGCAAGTTTTCAAACTGTCACCAATCCGTTGCTGAAGGTCATACTACTACATACTACTTGGAGATCAGTATATATGCATTTAAATTTTGGTAATACAAATTGCCTTATTGGCTGCTTGATTCGGCTCAATTATTTTCTATAACTTTTAAGTTAATTTTGAATATATCTCTGATATTTTCTTAGAATTTTTGAAGTTTTTTTATTTTATTTTTTAATTTCTACAATTGTTTAATAATCCAATTTAAAAAATCTTTTTACTAATTAGGTGTATTAGGGCACATATTTGGAAGTGATAAATAATGACAAAATTAAATAAAAAAACATTGACGATTAGGATTGAAATCGTAACTTCGATGGTAATATAAATGGTAATAATTCTATTTTTTCCATTTTTTCCTCTACTCCCTTGACGTGCAAGAACAGCCACCCTCACAATTTGTAATCGTAAAAGAGTAAAAAAACTCCCACTCCAATTAAACAGTTGTCAGTTTGTTTTTCTTATTTCAAACATCAGGTAAATTTCAAACCAAAGAATTATTTTTGCATCACAAAATTCACAACCTTTAGCAAATATACAAAAAAGTGTTAAATATACATTCTGTCAAAAAAACTGCAGAATTTGTCAATAAAATACAATACATTCAATTAATCATCAAATCAAATGTTTCCTTCAAAATAGGCACCACTTTCTAATAAACAATCCACTTTTTAAACGCATATTCCAGTCCACTTCAACTACTTTAGCGATTTTTGTTTTATGGCTTCTATCGACTCGAAATGTGTTCCACGAAGTGGTAATTTGAGTAAAGCCAGCGGTGACTTCCCGATGACATTCGTTGAGTTTTTGGTCAAAAATTCATTCACAATTATCGCTTTATGTGATGGTGCATTATCGTGATGCAAAATTCAAGAATTGTCGTTCCACAAATCTGATTTTATGCAGCGGATAGTTTCTCTCGAATACTCATATTGCTCTTTCTTGACTCGTTATCCGTTATGATGTGTTGCATGTGTTGCCTTCAGCAACATGTTTGCGATGCATCAACTACAATGGTGCGAACTGATTCATGAGATATGTTTAGTTCATATGCCTGCTTACTCAAACTGTAATAATGGTTAACAAGTACTATTTCCTTCATTTTATCGATTATTTTCTTCAGTTGAACATGTTGAAGGATGACCAGAACGTCATCAATCACTTATCGACCATGTTTGAAGGGTTTGTACCATTCGTATGCTTGAGTTTTCGATAAAATTGAATTACCGTATGACTTTCCCAACATTTTAAATGATTCATCACAAGAAATTTTGTTGGTAGCACAAAATTTTAGATAAACTCTGTTCGATAGTAAAAATCGCAGAACACACTTTAGGTGAACTAATAAAATTAACAGCTGTAAATGAACTACTTGGTGGATTGCGCTCAATCTTCGCGTTAGAGTGGAGTACAATGCTATCAACTTTCTATCAACAAAAAAATTTAAATCTATTTTGGAATTTTTAAATGATAAATTCCGGATACTTTTTTGACAGAATGTACATCATGTGAATAAATTTTCTTAAAACATATATATGTGAACTAAAAAAAAAGATATGTAGAATTGTATCCCAAAAACAAAGTGTTTTACAAATAAATACATAATTTTCGTAAGATAAGAATAGAATTCGTTAGAAATTCTAAAGCAATACTTATTAAACATTTTTATTGCTAAAAAAGTAAGTGAGAAAATAATGGAGCTGTGCCAAAATGCTGAATAAAATCCCTTGTTATTAATAAAAAGGATACAGAGCTCACATATATGAGTCTGATGTTCTACAAGTCCTGGAAGTGCTAAACTAGTGGGGCGGAAAGATTTAGCCGGAGCAACGGATGAATGATATGTAATATTACCATCACTTTCTCCAGGCAGTGCTATATCAAATACTTGAGAACTTCTAGATGCCTGAAAGAGAAACATAAATATGAATCTACAAACTGCATTTTTTAAATAATGCATTATTATACTTCAAAAAGCATCAACTGTATTTCCTTTTTTTTTTGGAAGGTCAAAGGCTATAAAAGCTATGTCAAGCTTCAATTCAAGAAAGATCAAATGTTTTTTTTTTCAAAAAAAAAAAAACTTAATTTTTCTGTTTTAATTTGTTCTTTTCAGAAGAAAATTTTTTCTATATATTTCTTAAATGGACAGAAAAATGTGAAATGTCTCATGGAATTAATGTTATTAATTACCTATATCTCGGTCAGTACGGAAGCTGGAAAAGATTTAATTTTTGTGTCTTGCAGCTCACAGAGATCTATTTATAATTTGGAATAATATAGTGCCTGCTATAAAATTTTGTAACTTACTTGGTGGTGAACTAGAATAAGGTCATCAACAACGTTAATAGCAAATCGCCCTGATAAACCTAACTTTAAAACATGAGTTTTGATAGGTGCTTGTCCAGGTCCATTTAAAGTATGAACATGGACTTCTGCTGTTTGAGGACCACTTTGATGACGAAGTATTAAAACAGCAGGTATACCATAAAGCGTTGCTAATGTCACATCTCTTTCAAGTGCCATACGACCAGGTTCAGCTTTATAGAAATTTACATATTATTATACCTATCTCTATAAAACTTAACAATGACATACTTACTTTCTACTTTTGGTAATTTACAAACTGTTCCCTGTTTAAATAAAACGGGTTGCAATTGTGAACCATGTGCTGAAGCTAGGAGAGCTAATTTATTTAATGAACACCAAACAAACCACTGCACTGTTGCAGATAAAGTTTTCAAATGTTTTAAAGATTTCTTTTCAGGAATGACCACATATAACTCTACTCCATGATCAGTTATAAGAGCTACTTCATTTATACAAGACCAAACAAAACCAAGCACATTTGAATTTTTTTTACAGCTTTGAGAATACTCTGAATCAATTATATTGTCATTAAAGTTCATAAATTCTACAGAGTTATTAGTTCTCTGAACAGCAAGAATTTTATGGTCTAATGAAAATTTTATAGATAAAACTGGTCCGTGGTCTTCCATTCGAAAATTTAGTGAATTATCATCGCGAGGACTTTTTACCACCACTCCCATAACTCCTCCAGAGCGTACAGCAAATACCTATAAGAGCAATTTGGTAATAACGCATATTTAAATATATTTTAAAGGTATAAAACATACATCATTGTTGGAATCATCAAAAAAGACATTTGTTAGCTGATTAACAGCTTCAAAACGAACCGGTTTGGTAGTTAATTCTAAATAATGGTCTGTCAATGTTTCATTCATTGTGAAGACTTTTAAGTATTAATATTTATTATTAGATTTTAAAATATATTACTATAAACAACAGCTTTGTTCAACATTTAAAAATGATTTAACATTTGTTGACAAATAAAGTTTCGACAACTTTTGACTTTTGACCATAGAAAATTTAACTCAGCTTTTGACTGTTTGACAGTTTTGACATGCTTTGACCAATGAACTTACTAGAACGGATGCATATTGTTATGTTCATAAGAACAATTTTTAAAGTATGCAACCCACCGATAGAGGGCATTCCGTCTCTCTCGTACTCATTGACATTAATGGAAGTTAGAAATTAGAAGCAACTTATTTTTAAAACGATTTTTTTTAAATTCTTAATGATTTATTTCAATATGAAATTGATGTGAAGGTCAAATATTAATACAAATAAATAAAAAATATTAGTGTCCCCTAGAATGACATCACCCGGGGGGTTATATAATCCGGTGAAGGAAGAAGCGAAAAGACAAGAGCGCCAGAAGAGGCCCCTGCCGGCGGGAGACAGCCAGGACAAGAGGAGGTCCCACAAAGTGCCTACACCGTGTTTTATCTATGTACACCGGCTATATATTTGTGGACGGATTCGACGACGGATGGTGCCCACCGTCACGAGACTGTCCAGGTCTACAGCGATTATACAGGACAAAGACGAATAGTCCCCCTCGGTCCCAAATCGTTTAGGCCGTAAACAACAGCTTATCAATCGCGCATCAGGATAAGAGGAGGTCACACAAAGCGTCTACAGGGACTACATTTGTGGTCGAGGTCGACAGCGCATGGAGCCCACCTTTACGAGGCTGTCCACGTCCACAGCGATGAGGCAGGTATAGTCCCCCTCGGTCTCACATCATATAGGCCATAAACAACGTCGTTAATGATGGGTTAATATTAATGGCGTGACAAATATAGTATAATTTAAAAGAATCGCTACGAATGTCAAAATATGTTGTAAAATCAGCACCAATCNATTTGTTGACAAATAAAGTTTCGACAACTTTTGACTTTTGACCATAGAAAATTTAACTCAGCTTTTGACTATTGACAGTTTTGACATGCTTTGACCAATGAACTTACTAGAACGGATGCATATTGTTATGTTCATAAGAACAATTTTTAAAGTATGCAACCCACCGATAGAGGGAATTCCGTCTCTCTCGTACTCATTGACATTAATGGAAGTTAGAAATTAGAAGCAACTTATTTTTAAAACGATTTTTTTAAATTCTTAATGATTTATTTCACTATGAAATTGATGTGAAGGTCAAATATTAATACAAATAAATAAAAAATATTAGTGCCCTAGAATGACTACTCCCGGGGGGTTAGACAATCCGGTGAAGGAAGAAGCGAAAAGACAAGAGCGCCAGAAGAGGCCCCTGCCGGCGGGGGTCAGCCAGGACAAGAGCAGGTCCCACAAAGTGCCTATACCGTGTTTTATCTATGTAAACCGGTTATATATTTGTGGACGGATTCGACGACGGATGGGGCCCTCCGTCACGAGACTGTCCAGGTCTACAGCGATTATGCAGGACAAAGACGAATAGTCCCCCTCGGTCCCAAATCGTTTAGGCCGTAAACAACAGCTTATCAATCGCGCATCAGGACAGGAGGAGGTCACACAAAGCGTCTACAGGGACTACATTTGTGGTCGAGGTCGACAGCGCATGGGGCCCACCTTTACGAGGCTGTCCACGTCCACAGCGATGAGGCAGGTATAGTCCCCCTCGTTCTCAAATCATTTTAGGCCACCTAAACATGCAACTAGTCTTTTTGAAAGAAGCCCAGTCTATATGGGGATTAAACTTTTGAATCGCGCCATTATTCCATGGCTAGAAATTGGCCTCAATGATTTGGGATCGAGGGGGATTATCCCTCTTTATCCTGCCTCATCTCGTGTAGGCCTGGACAGCCTTCGTAGGTGGGCCCCATCCGTCGTCCGACCTCCTTTTGTCCTGGCTGGGCCCCGCCGGCTAGGGCCCTTTCTTCTGGCGCTCTTCTTGCACTTTTGAATCGGCTGCCCGAGTGTGTGAGACTGGAGAATAATCCAAATGTTTTTAAACGAAAACTTAGACAAATTTTATCAAATGAATGTTTTTATAATGCTGCAGAATTTTTAAATAGGAAATTTTAAATTTTATTGTGCATGTATTTGTATGTCTTATCAATTGTTAATGTCATTGACGTGTATACATCATATATACTTTTATATACTTTCCTATTTCTTATATTGACTTGTCCTATATCTTTTGCTTGTAAGATCTGAAGGGATGAATAAATATATTATTATTATAGGCCATAAACAACGTCATTAATGATGGGTTAATATTAATGGCGTGACAAATATAGTATAATTTAAAAGAATCGTTACGAATGTCAAAATATGTTCTAAAATCAGCACCAATCAAAATTTATTATCGCCACTGTATTTATTTGTAACCGCCGCGCCCCTCTTCAACCCATATAAAGTTCTATCTTTCTCTTCAATGTCCTCAATCTTCAATGCTTTTCTGTTTTTTCGAGTTCAGTGAATGTGTAATTTAATTCATTCAATTTATGATTAATTCCAACAGTATTGTATTTATTTATATGATACGTTAAAAAAATTAGTAGTTTAATTATTTAAAATGCAACATCAGTATTGGGTAACTAAGAAAAGTGTTCTTCGAAAATTAGGAGGTAAAGAAGACGAATGTATTGTTGCTTCAGATGCCGAATTAGATGCGAAATTAGAACTATTTAAATCTATAAATGAAAGTTGTAATCATTTGCAACGAGTAATAGATTTATATCAAGAAAGGTTATGCTATCTAGCACAAGAAGAAAATGCATTAGGTAGATATTTGAAAGAATGTGGAAAACATGAGAAAAATTCATGTGCCGGACAAATAATGTCGACATCTGGAAAAGCATTAGCTTATACTGGCCATCAGAGGTTAACAGTTCGGCCTCCTTTAGTTAGATTACATCATGAAGTTGAAACATTTAGAGGGAGAGCTGTAACAGATACGAGAACAACTGTTGCTGAAATGGAGAAGGCGAGAACTGAATATCGCGCTGCACTTAGTTGGATGAAGTCAGTTTCTTCACAGTTGGATCCAGATACAGGACATGGTTTAGAACGATTTAGGAAAGCCCAGTCATATGTAAAAACAACTAAAATGAAATTTGATCGTTTAACATTAGCATGTCTACAAAAAGTTGATTTATTAGCAGCTGCACGATGTAATATGTTTTCTCATGCTTTAGTACCGTACCAAAGCGCCATTGAAACATTTTCTACTAAAGCAGGAGAAACTTTGCTTGTGGCTGCTGAAAAATTAGATGAAGCTCAACCTTATGAATTTAATGCAGTTACTGAATTAGCAACATCTTTAGACGTTGATAAAGATAAAACCACTTTTTTCAATGCAGAATATACTGATAATGTAGCATCGAAGGACACGGAATCTGATCAGTCTGTTGCTTCAAGGTAAGGAGTACATAGATATATAGCATGTACTGAAAATAATAAATTTCTTAGATTTGTAGATTTAGTAAAAATGACGCCAAAGGTTTGTTACAGGCTTGCTTGTAAAGTTTTTAGCTTTTAAAGTTGAGACTAGAAAAATCAATCATAATTTACTTATTTTTCATTAGATTTGAATAATTTATGGATTAAAGTTATTTTATTTGAATCTATTTCTACTAATGTATTCAATTTATGTTTAGCTATTTTGGTGTGCCTGGAGCAGACATTCAGCAGTCTTTACCCTCCAGAAATTATATAGATTTTCATATTTTTTCGAAGGAAACATGTATTTGTTTGTTATTGATAAAGTGAAATGTTTTTGCATTTAGCATCTCCTTTCGATTTTCATCCTTCTCATATTCTAGTTTTCCATACTGTCTTGACACCACCGTCATTAATTACCACCAATTAAATTGTTTAACACCAATTTTTTGTGTTATCTTCTCCTACATGCTCTGCATATTACTATAATATTTTATTCTTCATTCGTTCTCATTTTCATAACTCCCAAAAATTCTGCGCGATAAGTTTCTTTTCCACACCTTAAACATTTGCTGTTCTGTCTTATGCAGTGCCCATATTTCGCTGTGAAAAGTAACTATCAATCGAATTACTGTCATATAACCTACTAACTTTAGTTTCTCTAGAATCTTCCTTACTTCTAATAGTGGTTTCAAAAGCTAGACACATCTTTTTTTCATATACTAGACCCAATTGATTAATTTTTGCATCCTTAATAATTTTCCTAAACAAAAACTGAATAAAACCGGTGGCTGCTGGTCCAGTAATTTTTCTCCATTTCCAACCTCAAAATACAATGTTTTGTTGATTGTTTTTGCTTCATTTTATAATTTTTTATGTTATTAAGTTCATTCTAATCAATTTCTTGCTATTCCTAATTCCTTTAAAGTTTTATACATCGTCATCTATTTATTTTGTTAAGATCGGTAAAAGTAGCCAGTGTTGTTTTCAAAGGTTTCTGACTGTATTTCCCTTAAAACAAAAATTTGATCTATTCTTCCTTGTCAAAAGCCTCTCAGGTATTGTATTAACTTATTTTTAATGTACATTGTTAGTATTTTCCAAGCCACATTTAAAAGAATGCTTCTATAATTTTAGCATTTCCTTCTATATCTTTTCTTAGTTATATTGAAATCCGGTTTACAAACTTTAACTTCAAGAGTGAGCTCAAAGCAATAAATTATATACATATTCGTGACATCATTTTTACAAGATATACTCAAATTTGGTATTGCCCAACATTTCGTGGACAGCCTGTGTAAATATGTGAATGTGTGTTCTTTCTGTCTTAAAAATTCATCAAGTTTATTTGAACGTTAAAAATATGTAACACAGTTACACATCAAAGTTCAGCAGTGTTTTACTTAAATTCAAAACTATTTAGCTCTGCTGTAACACAAACCAGTAATGGCTAATGAATATTAAAGTGGTCATATTTTGATTGTAAAGTGTGAAACTTAAACTGTTTTTTAGAGAACTATTTCTAAGGTGACTAGATCTCAAAAAAGGTCACATATGTGCAAAATATTTTTTTTTCTACAATAGTTATATAACGGCAGTTAATTGTGAACAAATATATTTGCAAATGTAATGAACATGAATAACATAAAAGTTCTCTCAGTCTTAAAAATGTTATAAATCCTACACTTCATTATAAAAATATGATCACGCTAATTTACACTAGCCATCACTGACAGAAACTGTTCCGATGTTCTGGACATATATAACATAATTTCCATAATTGACAATATTTACTAGTGATGTCAAATACAGTTACTTTTTAGTACTCAGAGTATTCGTTACTTTTATCTCAAGTACTCGTTACTTTGTATTCGTTACTGAGTACAGTTACATGTATAGTCCGGCCGGCATGATATGCGGCTTTTTTCTACGCCGCCTTCCCGCAAAAGTCAACCACACACTCGAAAAACCCTACATAGTCAATATTAGCAAATAAACTTTTATCCATCGTGGCTACATCTGTTCCAAGTAAACGTATATTCTCTAAGGAAGGTCAAATAATAACAGAACGGCGCAATAATAGATTATTAAAATCCAAGTATGTGAACAAAATCATTTTTCTAAACTGCAACGATTTTTTGTTTATTCATAAAACTTTGTAGTAGTAGGCATTCGCACAAAACAGTTTGAATTGATAAATTACGTTATTTGTTATTTTGGATATTTATTTTTTCGTTAGGTATTTCTATTTTTATAAGACTAATTTCTATAAGACAAGAGTAGAATATATATTTGTTTAAAATAAATAAATTTAGAAAATAATTATTTATTTAAATGTTAATAAATATATAAATAATTTAAGTTTTGTATGTTTATATATTATTTACATTCTTCAGGTGCATAGGTATCTACTATACTGCAGCAAACTACGAATTAAATAATTACATTGATTAATTACTGATTAAATATATTTTACAGCTGTTTAATTAAATGTCAACAAAAAGGTATTTCATCTTAAGTAACAATCCTATAGGTTGACGACTACGCGACTACTTTTTCCTTGCGATACTCGTCGAACGAGTACATGATAAATATTCCGAGACCCGATACAAAATATTGTATCTATGAGTCAAATCTGAAATTCACGCGTTCAGTAAATATTCCGAACAGAGTCCGAGTATTACCGATTATCGTGATTACATGTATCGAAACTTGGAAAAGAATCTCTACTTAAAAAGTATCAGTATCGAATACTTTTCTCTTCGATTACTCAGTATTCGTTACTTATTCAAGTAACGTATAAAAAGTAATGAATAATTACAATATTGACATCACTAAAAAAGACATTTTTGATCTGATTTGCTTTCAATTTTTTTTTAATGATAAAGCTTAATACACCATTAGCTCACAGAACAGTTGAATTAATTTTTAATCATCAGTAAGTTAATTTTTTCACTGCCAAATTTGAACAAATTTTTTTATTAGACCTGTCTTTTACCATTGAAATTAACATTCCCTAAAAAGGTGTAGTACCGATTTTTTATTTAATTTAATGAATATATTTTTTAACTAATGGCAAAACTGATATTAATCATTTTATATCTATTCTTTTCTAAATCATTTACAAATTTTGTAACAACAGAAAAATATAAGTAGATTTTGGTAATTAAATTTAATTGTTAACTGGTTTTTAGCTGTAGCTGTCTTAAAAAAATTTCGAAGCACGTGCGATCATAAATGACTTTCACAAGGGTGTTTTAACTTTAAAAGGCTCACACTGTACATAAAATGTTTATTTTTAGAATTCCTGAACCAGAAAGTTTAGAAACTGTAGATCTGTTGGGCGAAAACTTTAGTTTGACAGAAAATAAACAAGAGACATCAAAACTAGAAGATACAAAACCAAGTTCGGCATTGCTTGATCTTAACTGGAGTGCAAATTCAGAATTCCTTGGAAGTGAATTTATGCCTTCAAAATTAATGCAAGAGGATTCTTTTAATTTCACGGATTCTAAGAATAAAGGTGACGATGGAAAATCCAATGGACAAATCGAAAACGCAATGAAAACTGAGAAGTTAAACAGCACTCACGTTTCATGGTTGAGTTTATTTGCTGAATTAGATCCTCTTGCTAATCCATCTACTGAAAATAATATAGATGGAGATAGAGTATAATATACAATTACAGCTATTGTAAAACATGCACTTAATCTCACGTATTGGTTATGAAATAACTATCCTTATCAGATGTATATACCAAAGATTTATATATAATTTTTTGCTAGTCATTCCATCATTTTGTCACTGTCTAAATAACAAAAAATAATTTGTGTTTTAGTGTTATTTTTATTTAATCATTAATATAAATATGAATAGATTTTTACAGTACATTCTGATGTAATAGCTTTTTGTGGTATTCGTTATTTTTAAGATTCATTAATATACACATTATTAAAATACTTTGTGTATTATATCAAAGATGACAAGTATTTAGAACAGTGTGTGTGGTATTGCTCGAACTGCAGCGTTTATGCTAAAAACTGAAATTAAGAAAAATAAAAAGGTAAACACATATTCGGCAAGTAAGGACAACAGAAATTATTATAAATTCAAATTACTTATTCCAACATTATACAGGGTGTCCGCAAATTTCACCGACGTTTGTCTGTATATTCATGACGATAAATAAATATGATCTAAGAAAAAAAGTTGTCAAAAATAAAACTAATTTTATCTGCTCCCACTATAGTAAATAGACTATTAATACATTGTTTTTAAGAAGGTAAGTGGATTTTACTGCAGAAGTGGAAATTGCTATGGACAACGGGAGGTAAGTGAGGTAACTTACCTCCCTGGGGAAAAAAGCAATTTCGAGTTATAAATGCATATTTTATAAACAAATAAATAGAAATATTTGATGAACATTACAGTTTATTAATTATTATGAATGAATATTTATAGTAATTGTACAGTTACTACATTTAGTAACACATAAAATCTGGATAATTATTCCCCTCTCGTTTACTAATTGTCACATTTTTCTCAAAATGACTTGACTACTCCATTTCAATCACCGGAGGCTCAATATTATCTAACTGATCCATTAAAACAGCATGATGCGACGTACTACTAGAACCTGGAGATGAAGTGTCATTGTAAAGAATCCCGTTGGCTATTTCATTTTTGTTATTTAAATAATTGTCAGCAACTTAACTTTCTGCAATTGTGACTGATTTCCACCCATTTCCCTTGATTGCTAATACATCAACTCTTTTATTAGCCACTAATATTGTCGATGTTCTTCCGAATGAATAGCCTGTACATGTTTCAGGATGTTCTAGTTTCAGAAACTGTGCAATCTTATAGGCTACTGATTATGTCTTAAAAAGCAGGGTACTAAGGAACTACAACGTTAATGGGTTTTTATTGCATGAATCGTTCAAATGGTTATTCAGAAAGAAAAAACCGTGGAGTGCTTTTAAATTAAAGGATGGAAATTGGAGATAGGGGTAAAAATGCAATTCTTACGGTTTTTTGAATATATCTCGAAAATGAAGCAAAATTTGAGGGTATTGCATAGGCTAATTTTGTAGATGAGATTTTCTATCGAAATAGCTTATTTAAAAAATTTATGTATTGCAAAACCATTAACAAATAAATGCAAAAAATTAAATTTTTAGTTTTTTTACTTTTATGCAAATAACTTTTTTCTGAGCAGATAGTTATAGGCATTGCTGTCATTGTGAAAATTTGTTTATTAAGACCTGTACAATACCCAGAAATCAACCGCAGAAAGGAACTCTTTGACGTTTGTTTTTTTTACATAGCAACTATTTTTTGCGTGACACAGCGTGCGGTGTACACAACTTTGTCCACTTCTGCCGAGATGTTTGGCCTAGAAACAAATTTCTGGCATAGGGGGGATCGACTAATTACAATATTAAAAATGAGTTGGATCAATTCGCAGAGAGTAATCATATAATGTAATCCCTTGGTTAAGGGTAGCCATGTTTTTGGGGTTCTGCAGACATGTTTGGCTTCGAAAACATTTCTGGCATTGCGGGAATTGACTAGTTGCAAACTTGAAAGTACATAGCAATGATCAGCAGAATGAAACCATTTATCGTTCATTCCCTGATTAGAGGGGTGAACATTAAGTCATATTGCCGCGGTTCTGCGGGCATGTTTAACGGCGAAAAAATTTGACATTGGGGAAATTTACTAAATGTGACCTTGAAAACTCGTTTTAATAACCGGCTCACTGAAACCATTTAACATTCATCCCCTAATAAGGGATAGTCTCGCGGTTCTGTAGACATGTTCGGTACCGAAAAAATTTCTGGTATCGTTCGGCCGCTACTAATTATTGCAGAGAAACAAACAGCAGTGTGTATCTATATGACATTTACCCCTTTATAAGGAAAAACCATGTTTACCTGGTCGCCATTTTCAAGTCCCCCTATTTTGAACGCAGAAATTCACGTTTGGCAATGTACAAGCATTATCTAAGCGGCTCATACACTTTCCGGTCTGCAACCTTATCATGTGCAGCTCTTAGCCTATATACCCAATTTAAAGACCTCAAAAAAAATTCCCTAAAAAGTCATGTTTTTAACCCCATTTTTGACGATTTTTTAGATTTTTACAATAATAAACATGATTCATTCGATTTGTAACTACTCATATTTTGTAAAAAATTTAATTACAAACATTTTTGTCCTCTTCCATTTTCGCCTAAAATCAACTCTTGAAAAGATACATAAATAGGAAGAAAAATATGACATTTTTCGAATTATTTTAACATATTGTGCTGCCAAAAGTTAAGCCAACGTTTTTTTTACACGCATAGAAAAATTTTCATTTCTAGTGATATTTGAAAGCCAAAAAGCCAAAAATCTCCTTGGATATACGATTCACCCAAACCAAAACAGATACCGCCTAGTCTAATAATGATGCGTAATTTGTTAGATCTGAAAGCATCAAACGCATGCCCTGTGGATTCTGGTAGCCTACGAATCTCAAAATTTATGAGGCCAAGCATTAGCCCTTTGACGATTTGAATAAATGTTATAAAAGTGATACTACCTAAGTGATAATTAAATAATTAAACTCAAATATTAATATAATTTTATAAATACTATAATAAAACAAAGAATGCTACAACACTGATTTTTGGTGGAAATTATAAAAAGAGAGTGAAATACTTATCAGGAACGATGCAAGAAAATCCTTTATATCTTTAACATATATATTTGTGTATAATTTAAATATATAACACAAATTTTAAACACTATAAGGTACATTTTTTAGAGTTGAATTTTATTACAATCTCTGTAATAGAATTGTTAAAAAGGTAAAATCATTTTAGTAAAATTACACCTCAGTCTACACATCACATTGAAATCATATCTAGGGGTCGTAAAGACTTAAAAGGGTAAACCAAATTCATACATCGGCAAATTGAGTGAGGGCTGCTTTCACCCTGAAAAATGAAACATTTTAAATGGTACTTGAATTTTAGAGAGTAATAAAAGGAAATAAAAATGCAATATGCATAAATTTTATGACAAATACAGGGTGATCCATTAACGATATCGAGCGGTTGTATATAGGAAACTAGACGTGCTACGATTATGGGGTAAAAAATCTATTTACAAATATGGCCAAAAGAAATTGATTTAAAATATTTTCAAGATTGTAACTTCACTGCTAGGGTTCGCAACTGCTACAGTGTTACAGAAAATTGTCGGTTTTTAGAAATTTCGCCTATGTAACCGAAGATGAAAATACACTTTTTGAATACACTGTTTAACCCTTCACAAGTTTTGTTTGAACTTTTTTTTGTTATTACCATAGCAACGCCAGTATGAAGGACGCCATCTTGAAATTTTTAAATTGTCATAACTTCTAAATGCCTTAATCGATTTCCATTTTCCAAACAGTGAAAATAAACTGCCAACATATCATACGCTTCCACATATGTAAAAGGTATTTTCCTTGTTCACAAGTACTTTTCCAATACAAATAACAATAATTTTGCAGGTAGCAAGAGCTGTCACATTTCGTTTGGCATAATTTTTCAGTTGTCTATTTTCATAGGGCATAGCCTGCCTCATTATGGAAACAATAATCATTATAAATACTCAAATATTTGGAATTAATAAAAAAAATTATACCTACATTTAAAAAAAAAAATTAAGAATAAAGCAAATTCTTTTTAAGGACAAGATAGGTATAGTTTTACAATTAATTACAATTTAATTTTGGCTTGGACTATGTCAATGTTATTTAGAGAACTAAATAAAGGAGGATGTTCTAGCTCTTCACTATTTTAGCAATAACTTTAAAACGAAAAAGGTATCGACCTCCAGTTTGTGTATTTGTTTTCCTTAACCCTCCGTCTGCAACGTGCGGTCTCTCACACCGATCCGTAAAATTATTCTGAAGTGAACAAAGGTGCATGCGTGTATCAACTTGCCCGTCTACGTATTCCTTAAGCTTCAGTCTACACATACATTTCTTAACGTTAGCACTTATTTACCCAGTTAGTTTTTCGGCGAATCACCGTTTCGGTCTTTCAGACCGAGGTTACAGTTTGTGCACGATTTTTAGGTAAGACCAAAAAATTTATTAATTTTGAATAGGTTATAATTAGTAGTATTTTTCGATAGAATTTGCGAATATGACATACGAGGAAACCCAAGCACGGCTCCAGAAATTCGTAGATGAAATGTTGATGGAAGAGGATGATGAAACAGTCCCCTTAGATGGCGATGAGAGTTTCTCAGAAGATGAAACAGAGCAGCAACTTGAAAATACGGATTCAGAGCCGATGTCTGCTATGGCCGATGTCTGCTATGTTCGTCCAAGAAAAATAGAAAAACCAGGTACAAATGCCTAAAATGTAGCCGGTTCCTTTGCAAGTTCCNTTATACAGGGTGTTCCTAAATAAGTGTCGCAACGGAAAACTGTAAATTCCTCTTGAAAAATGAAACATTTTTTTCCTCTTCCATTTTTCTCTCCGGGCTTTCGTTTTCGAGATACACGGTGTCAAAACTTTAATTTTTTTTTAGTTTTTCGCCAATATCTTAGGAATCGTTTGAACTATAGGACTGAGCTTTTGTACACACATTACCACTATTAATAGCTACTTTTTCGCACCCTTCTCGAATTCATTGGACGTGCCAGTGGTGGAGATTTTAAGGTATCATAAGGGTTTTTCCCCCCCTAAATTTTACGCCACTGGAAAAACTGACTTTTGACAGCAAATTCTAGGAAATTTAGGAACACCCTGTATAGGCGAAATTTTGAAAAACCGACAATTCTCTGTAACACTAGCAGTTGCGCCCCCTAGCGGTGAAGTTACAAACATGAAAATATTTTAAATCAATTTCTTTTGGCTGTATTTGTTAAAAGATTTGTTACCCCATAATCGTAACACGTCTAGTTTCCAATATACAGCCGTTCGATACCGTTAATGAATCACCCCGTATACAAGACGAATTTTTATTTCCGTTTCTTTCGTGAAAAAATTATTAGCCATGGTTCCTGATCCTATTTTTCATGTATGTTTTTTTAATATGAAAAGTGTTCCAATATTCTGGGGTTCGGGTAGCAATAAATTGTTTCCTTTTTTTTCAAAAGTTTATCTTAAAACTGGATTTTATAAACATACACTTATAAAGGGTATCCCAGAATAACGTGTACAACGGATGACCACAGATTCGTGGCAGAGTTACGCTAATTCACCTATATCCGAAATCACTTGGTTAATAATAATAATAATAACATGTATTTTTTATTTGATAGGTGATATCATTTGGAAGTTTTTGGGTCTCTTGTAAAATTTTGATTAAGTGAGCGGTTTGGGTAGAAAAAAATATTTTCTAAATGTATCCATTATCTTGTCACCCATACTACAATACTTAACAAAGTGCCAGTAGGCTCTGATTTTATAAGTTGACTGTAATTTCATTTTGATCTTTAAATCATTGTAGTTGTTAATTCTGTTTTACTAGAAGCGAAATAATAAATATTCACAATGAAAATGTGTATGCTCAAGAAAATCCACATGCTATCAAAGTGGAACATTATCAGCACGAATTTCGCATCAATGTTTGGTCTGGGATCATTGATAGCATTATTATTGGCTCTGTTATTCTACCCAATAGACTGACTGAACGGGGAAATTTATTTAGAATTTTTGCCAAACCAGTTATTAAAAGATGTGCCATTATTACTCAGAGCTAACATGTGGTTTATGCATGATGACACTCCACCACATTTCACTGTAAATGTGCGGCAGTATCTGAACCAAAGATTCCCTCGTCGATGGATCAATAGAGGGATAATGTTTCTGTTAACTGGCCTGTACGTTCACCAGACTTAACACCCTGCAACTTTTATCTTTGCGGCACTCTAAAAATAACAGTGCATGTTTCCACATCTAACACTGAATAAGAGTTGTGGAGGCATATCCAAAATACCATAAATGTTTTAACAAAATAGCCCTTAAGAACTGTAAAGGGTGTCACTTAACTTTCTTCGCCGAATCCGAATCTTCTGGAATCTGGAATAGTTTGGAGGGTGGCACAGTATACCTAGCCACAGCACTTAGACCCCATTGGGCCCATTATGCATCCTCCCAGCGAGAGATCAGCTCTCCCGAGCTGTCAACCAGCCTATCAAGGAGAAAAAGGTGATGACATTGCTCAGGAGGATCCCTCTAATGTAGGCCATAGAAGGCCACCGTTCTAGCACAGATTCTCTCATTGACAAGACACCAGTACACTCGCAGAGTACATAGAAAACTGTCTCGTCTTCCTGCTCACAACCTCTACAGAGGGGTGTTTCCTCATATTATAAAGGTGTTTCCTTAGCCAACAGCATCTGGTCTGAATATTCGTCACCTCTGGACATAGCCAGGTATTTTTAGGCTGTGTTTTTGCTGGGGTATCCTAAGAACTCCTTAGTAAATTGACAGCTGTTTATTTCGTTCCACCGTGTTTTAAACTCTTTGTGGGTGTTTTCCTTAATCATTTCAAAAAGAACTGACAGCGAGTGCACACTGGAGGGACTGGGTCCAAATATAGTACGACCCGATGCCCTCCTAGCTAGCTCCTTTATTGCCACTGTAGTCCAATCAATCTGTCACGGCCTTATGCTAAATTTACAAAAAATATCACCTGGAAACAAAAAATATATAATAGAAAAAAAAATTGGAAGAAAGATTTTCCTGTGCGGCATAAGCAGCAAAGTTAACCTAAAAAATTCATAAAAGTAAAAAAAATTGGCAGTTTTTCGCCAATAAAAAAAAAAATTAACTCCAACCGAAAAAAGTTAAATGAGACAGTTGTAGCTATTAAAAAAAACCTATCGATACGTATTTTTAAATATATCGATTGCTATATTACTTTTTGAGATATATCGAAAAAGCCGTCAAAAATCGACTTCTTGTTTTTGCTGTTTTGCTTGTTTTTGTCCAGAACTTGAGATATAATGCAAATTTTGAAAGTAAGAGCGCCTTTGAACGCGCGAATTCAGTTTTCGGAGCGCCCAAGAAGCGTTCCTCCACTCCCCCGCCCACTAGTTAGCTCGCGCTGCGCTCGAATGCTTCGGTTTGACGCATAATTAAAAATGCAGAAGTGGCTAAAATGAACCATTATTGAAAATATAAGTCTTCAACTTCAATCTCTGTAGGAATGGACGCTGTAGCGCTTAAATAGCGGCCTGTGGAATTTTTTGAAAAAAAAATATCTCGTCTCAAGAAGGTCGTACAGCAATGTTTTTTTTTTAAATTTGCGTAAAAATGTTAGCAATCGATTCCTGTAATCGACATTATCGAGAAATGAAAATTGAAAAAGATATTCAAGAAAAACGCGACAAAAAATTTTTACTTTTTTCAAAGTTATCTTTGGACACTTGAAATGAATAAAATCATTATCACTCTTTTTTACCGTGAAAGTACAATTCTTAAGGGAAAAAATTACCCTGATTTATTTCTCTACAACTATTCGTCGAGCAAGAAGAGCCGATTTTTTAGATGACATTTTTTTCGAAAAATAGATATCGAAAAACTTTTAATATTTTTTTATTTTAAAAAATGTACCTTTTTTGCTTGCCGAGGGCTACATTTACGGCAAGTAACAAGTTTCAAAACCTTAAGTTGCAAGAGATACAGCAAAAACAAGAAAAGTCGATTTTTGACGGTTTTTTCGATATCCTATCGTATCGATAGGTTTTTTTAGTAGCTGCAACTTACTCATTTAACTTTTTTCGGTTGGAGTTCAAGTTTTTTTTTTATTGGCAAAAAACCGTTTTTCTGACTTATGAATTTTTTAGGTTAACTTCACCGTTTATGCGCCACAGAAAAATACACTATCTTTCCTAGAATTTTTTTCCTATATCGCTATATATTTTGTTTCCAGGTGATATTTTTTGTAAGGTCTTCTACCTATTGATTGGATTATTGCACCGGTTGTGTCCCTTAACCCAGCATACAGATATCCTGTTGGTAGCTGGTGGCATACAATGACTTAAAGATCAAACTGAAATTACAGTCAACCTACAAGATCAGTGACTATTTTAGCACTTTGTTAAGTATTATATGGGTCGCAAGATAACGTAGACATTTAAAAAATATTTTTTTGTACCCAAACCGCTCATTTAATCAAAATTCTATAAGAGGCCCAAAAACTTCCAAATGGTATCACCTATCAAATAAAAAATAGTAGCCATTACTGTCCGAAAGAGGAAAAAGTTATTAACAGATATTATTACCAATTATCAATTTTGTAGGAGTTGTGAGTTTTAAAAAACACTCTGTATAACATCAAAATTTGTAGATTGATAGCAAAAGTCCACACCCCAAAAATTATCAAAATCAATTAATACCGATTTATTTACAAAATTCAAAAAAATTTCACGAACTTTGAGGCCATCTAGCGACTAAACGAAGCGATTTCGGATGTAGGTGAATTAGCTTAAATCTGCCTACTTTGAGGCCACGAATCTGTGGTCTTCCATTGTACACGTTATTCTGGGACACCCTGTATAATGGAACTATAAGGATTCTGTATTCTTATATAAAAAAAAGATTATTTACACACACCCATCATTTTCCATCCATTTTACCACATTTAGTGTATTGTATCACTTTAGGCCACTGTATGCAGTTGGCCGTTGGGTAGGAAGACTTTTGCACTAAATACGCGGATATTCTTAAAATCATTTTAGGTCCAAGAACTTTAATGAGATAGAAGGTATTGAAATTTAAAAAAATACACATTTATTCAAATATCCCTGAAAATGTTTGAGACATTTCACGAAATTAAAAATTTTCCAACTTACCTGTTGAACAGAATAGTATCTGATGTACTCAACAGTTGCTGAAGAATATTAACTACTCCCAGATCTTTCAACCTCGACTGCCTTTCAATAGCACCAGGTTCTCCTCTTCTTGTTAAATTGTTAATGCAAAAGACAGCAGACTCTTGCAAACAGGGAGCTGGGTGGTTCATATAATCGATAAGTTTTTTAAGTACGTCTTCGTTAGACATTATATGATCTCTTGCTCTTTCACCGTCAGCGATATTCCCCAATATACAAAGAGCCTGTTCCTTAACTTCAGGAGTGTGCGGTCCTTCTAATACTAAAACTACCCCTTGCATAACTTGAGGACCATGTAGTGCCATCATTGTATCTGTATGAGTTCGAGGAGATACCAGATTACGCAATAGGCCTAATGTTTTCATGAGTACTCGAGTATCGGAATCGGCTAGAAGTCTGAATATCTGATCGGTACCTAAAGCCGTGAGTATTTGAGATTTGACCCGTTGTTCAGCTTGAAACGCAAGATTCATTAAAGCCCAGACACCATTCAATCGAAGTGAGGGATCGGGCTGAGACGTCAGAGTGGCCAGTAATTGAACGACTCCTTGTTGAAGCATTGGTTCTTTCGCTGGAGAAAACTCCAATAATAAATTACAGAGAGCGGAGGATGCAGCAGTTAATAATTCGGTGCAAGGAGAATCTGAAAAAAAATATATATCTATTGTTATAAGTAACAAAAGCTTATTGTATTTTTTTTATTTCGTTTTAATCCACTATACTAGTTACCAGTTAATAAAGTCATTAATGGACGCCAGACAGAATGATCCTGAAAAGTAGTACGCAACTGTTGAACTGAACGACTTAGCGAATGAAGACAACGGACAGCAGCTAGTCTAATTTCTTTATTTTCATCTCCTAAACCATCAACGATGCTGTCCATTAAACATTTTGTATCAATTATTCGTTTTCTAATATCTTCATCATTTGCTCCCAATGACGCAAATGCTCTGTAAATATGTTGTAAATTTAAATATAGGGTGTTCGGTAAGAACGGGTCATACTTCATAGGGTGAAAATATTCCAATTTAGTTAAATTACCTCGGTTATCTACGATCTATGGTTGGCTATGAATTTAAACGTCAAACTTAATGATCAGGAAAAAAGTTGAACTTAAGGAGGTTCGTTACCAAAAAAAAAGAAATTGTAAGAAAGTTTTCGAAGCAATTGAAATCAGTTAATAAATACGCAAACTGCCTCGTGTAAAAATATCAGATCGATTGCCAACATAGTTTTTTGAAAAATGTTATTAAAAATTATGCTCTTATACAGAGACTCTTATGGGAGTTGGGAAAAAATTTTAATCAAATGTGAATATTGCTCTTAAAGATGGTTAGGATCGGGAAAATAAAATTGTAATTAAAGAATTAAATATTACCAAACACTTTAAAACAATAAAAATAAGCACTTACAATGTAATTATTGAGATAATGGAATGAATAGATAACATTTTGACAAATTTCAACAAACATCTGATCCAATGAAAGGAAATATGGAAAGGCTGTACACTGTATTTAATGCTTCAACTGAGTGCTATATTTGAATAGCTCGATTATAGACTATAAAATTATTCCAGTTGAAAATATATGTAGTAATAATTAATAATAAAGTTGACCCAACTTTTACCACCATGCCATATCGGTGCAATGTTGCCAGATTTCACCCATAGTTTTACAAGCTCTTAATGAATAAATAGACACTTTTATTCAAATAAACTTGCATTAAACTTGAAAAATATACAGGGTGAGTCATTAATAATGGTACACAACTCAATGGTATATTGTTAACATCAAAATATAGCGATTGAGCCAAATATGCCTTAATCAATTGTTGCTCCTTTTCGTTCTACAGGGCGTTAAAGTTGAAAAAATATTTTCGATTTTTTGCTATATTTTAAGTATGTATGGAACAATTGTTTTAAAAATTTGTAGTTTTACGTTTTTTGAGGTGGCAAATACGAATATGCAAATAGTGTTGGAGTCATGTCTAGAGGGCGCTAGTTGTCCTGTCCTATCAATGTAAAAGTATGTCTAACTTTTTGTATTTTATAATTTTGATTTTTTTAACTAGAAATTATTAAACTATCTATAATTCTAAATAAAAAAGGTATACTTGTTACAAATCGATAAACTCAATTGTTTTCGATATACAGACGTTTTAAGTTTTTGAGATTCGACGGGAATTAAATTAGAAAATTATTTTTTCCAATTAGTAGGCATTGACATAATAAATTGGCATCTGTCACTACAATACCAAATTGTTTCTGCCAATTCTACTCTATTTGATTAGGTAATTAGTTTTTTCCTTGTCGTTATTTTTTAGAGAAGAGAATATCTATAGAAATTTCCTGCACCGTTGGATTGAATGAATTGAAAAACTTAAAACATCTGTATCACGAAAACGGTTTAGTTTATCGATTTGTAACTAGTATACCTTTTTTATTTAGACTTGAATGTAGTTCAATAATTTGTAGTTAAAAAATTCAAAATTGGAAAATACAAAAAGTTAGACAGATTCTTACATTGGTAGGAAAAATTTTCAAAACAATCGGTCCATACATACTTAAAATATAGACAAAAATAGAAAATATTTTTTTAATTTTAACACCCTGTAGAACGAATAGGAGCAACAATTGATTAAGGCATATTTGGCTCAATCACTATATTTTGACGTTAAGAATCTGCCATTAAGCTGTGTACCATTATTAATGACTCATCGTGTATACGAGCTAATATGTGTTGTATAAACTTCATTTGTATATATCATATTTAGTTCCCTCAAATACGTTTATGTAAGGTTTTGGTACTACAACGAAACTCCCGTGTATAAGCATAGGCTTCCCCCCCGCACCGCCTGCCCCGCAAGAAATCTATTGAACCTCCTTAATAGAAAAAAAACAACTTAAACAACATAAATAACATACAATTTGCACCGATAAGTTATAGAAATTGTTCAAAATGATCATAGTCTTCTCTCAGGCATAAATTTATTCTTCTTCGAAATTTGAAGTATAACTGCTGATTGTTTCTAACTTAGCTTTTGAAATCAACTTTTGAATTTTCGATGATTTTAAATAACAGCTACAATACGTATTATTAGTTACTCGTGTTTTTGTTGAAAACGACAAAATGTTTTGAAAACTAACAAGGGTAGGGAAAGTTTTAGAATTAAATTCCCCATAAAATAAAGTAATAATTTTTTTTAAGTCCGCCAATGGGTTCAAAAATTCTGTTACATTTTAATGGTGTATTATCCCTTTAAAATGCTTCAATTTTACAAGAAAGTGAAAATCGTCCATGTACGGGCAATTTTCAGTATTGAGAAAAAAAATTAACCCAAGAAATATAAGACATAATATACTATATCTGTGAATGGTCACTAGGCGAAACAGTTTTTAACCAATACTATTGCGGGAAACAACTACCAACATGCAGTTGTACTCATAATATCTAATAAACAGCTATAATCATTCGTCAATGGAACCATCACACACAGGGTGTCCCGGAAATGATGGGCAATCTCTCGGATATGGATAGATAATGAGAAAATAATGTCACAAGTTCATATCAAATTTTTTCCCCCGGGCTCACCTTGTAGTGTTATTTAGCTCTTGAAGTTAAGAATTAAAAATGGTTTTTTTGCTGTAACTTTTGTATTTTTCAATAAATTTTGAAAATTTTTTGGCTGGATCTATAATTTTTGAAGCTACTTTGGATGATAATATGAAATCCTTTATTTTATAGATATTCAACAAGTATACCTTTTTTACGTAAAATACCATAAATTTTTATAAAATGATGGAAAATTTGGGGTATAGTGGAACAAAAATTTATTTCCTAGAAATTTTGGTGGGGGATGCTTTGCCCCCGGGCCCCCATAATTATTATCGAGGATTTCATATTATCATCCAAAGCAGCTTCAAAAATTATAATTATATTATTCATTCATATATTAAATTTTCAAAATTTATTGAAAAATACAAGTTACAGCAAAAAAAACATTTTTAATTCTCAACTTCAAGAGCTAATAACTCTACAGGGTGAGCCCGGAGGAAAAAATTTTATATGAACTTGTGACATTATTTTTTCATTATCTATCCATATCCGAGAGATTGCCCACCATTTCCGGGACACCCTGTATACAAGTTCAAAACCGGCATATTTCTAGTGAATCAGCTAACGAATGATCCTAGCTGTTTACTGACATTGTGGGTATAATTCAATGCTAGTCGGGGTATTAGTCTGCAGAGTAGTTGTTTCATGAAATATTATCACTAAATAAACAATAATAAAATTAGTGAAAAAATGAAATTATATTAGGAATTGCCGCATTAAAATAAAAATAGATCTTTATGAAAATTGGTTAGGGGTCATTTTTTGGGTCGTGCAAAAATACATATAATATCACATTTTAAGCAAAAAATTTGCTAATACTATTTTTTAGACATTGACAAAAAAATCAAAATGGACAAATTTGCAATTTTTATATTTTTCAAATACAGTATAAACTCTTTTCAACGAATCTTAAGGGACCGGGGATTTTTTTTCGTTATATGGAGGGAAGAAGGAAAAATCCTCTCCGTTCATTTTACCATAGGTAATATTATGACGGTGCTTAAATTTTCCAAGCCAACTTTCAGATGCTTTAAAGTCAATAATAGCTAGTTGTTTGGCAAACTTCTCAGCCTTGGCTTTAACAATTGGCCCCGAGATGTGTACATTATTCTGGCGCTTATTATTGTTAAACCACGACAACATTGTCTAAGTCTTCGAATTTTGGCTTCCTTAATTTTTTAGTAGACACTCCCTGCAGTTCCGCCTGTAGAATTGCTTCTTCATTTTTCCAAATGGTAGCAACAGTAGATGGACTGAGGCCTAAACGTCTTCCAACATTACTTTTCTTTTCTCCTTTTTCTATCGCACATATCAAACAAACTTTTTCGTTAACACATAACGCTTTTCTTTTACTGGCCATCTTGACAGTTTCAAAGTAGGTTTACGACTGATAATACACAATAGGTGCCTAGTGTGTTTAGTAACTGAGTTCAAAATTTCCTATAAACAATGTAATCCAAGAGTAATGCACACGTGTTCGAGGCAAAAGCAAGGCAGTTATTTACAACCTCAGGGTCTCAGAAATTTCGGCAGCTCAAAGATTTAGTCGGAACCTTTTAAAAGCTGATTATAAAAACAATTACACTATTAAATAATTGCTGGCATCTAAATATGAACATATTTCTTCATAATAGAGAATGGCTGTTGCGTTATAAAGAGTGTATTAATGTATGGGTTTTGACGTAAACCAACCAAATTGACTTAATTTCTACGTTATAGGAAGTTTTTCGTTATAACGAATGACGTTATAAAGAGTTTACACTGTATGCACTTTATCGGTTCTATTTACAAAAATATTTAACTTCATTGGCTTTCGATAGTAAATAATGTCTGGGCGAACGAAAAAACTCAATTTAATGTAGATACAGTAAAGTTTATAATTATAACAAGATGTACGAATAATTTTACCTGTTTAGTTAGTTTTATAGATATTTACTTGAAAACGAAAAAGCTTTAAAAGCTATACACAGCCAAACAAAATATAAATTTAAATAAAGTACCTATACTAGGCCAGATAGTTACACATATGCACCTGTTACGTTATTTTAGTATGTTATGTAGTATAGTAAATTAATAAAGCAACGTTTTTGACAATTTTTGTTTTATTTTGGTTTCACAAGTGTCCCGGATTATCACTTTCAGGAGTTGGTCACCTTGGTAAATGACTCAATAGGCTTATTTTCGAACTTTTTTTTGAGATAATATGAAAGACTACGTTATTTGTATTCGATAGATATCAAATACTATAAGAAATTCAGCCCGCATCACATTGAAAATAATTATTGAAGCTACGGGACTGTGACGTCAGCACTTCCTTCGCGCTACCAGTCTCAATCTGCCAGCCACCTGCATTGTCATTGCACTGGACGCGGACAGCACGGCTGTGAGTTGTTTACCAGCTGATTTGAAACTTCACAGACAATGGCAAACAGCTATTATTATTTATTATTTAATAAAAGATGTCATATAAGTTAACTATATGAAAAGTGTATATTTACAGATATATGTATAGAATCGAATAAAAAATAAACTTATTATTAGTTAATTTAACAGCTATAATTTATTAAATATAAAGTTACACCAAAATGATTGTATTTCGTCTAATAGTTGATTTACCAGGTCTTCATTATAATGAATATTTTTTTTCACAATCTCCTGTCTCCTCAAAATCAAGAGACGTTACAACAAAGAGGGCATCTTTTATTCTTGTCAAATGCATCTGTAACTGTACTTGATACATAAACTTTAATTTTACCTCTCCATCTTTATCAATATAATTTTTCACGGTCTTTTCGCTTCTAGGACATTTTATTTCAACTATAACATTATTATTTATAGCGTCAGGACTGGCTCCTACAATAGGGCATTCTTTACATAAAAATATACCAGCCTTCTTGTATTTTTGTTTAGTGTTTTCTGATAAGACTTTTAGTACCTCTCTTTCTAATCGCAAACCCCGTTCCATATCCGAAGTTTGCAATACTTTCGCAACAAATATTTTTTCTATTAAAGTCCCGTCCATAGTTTTGCATTTAATGGCATTGTACACTCTAGAAGTGGTAACTCGCCCGTATCTCATTTCGTGCCATAAACTATTATTGGTTTGCCCTCGTGTTTTTTTCTATCTTTCCAGCTAATTTTTCATCAAACAGGCACTTTGCAAATTTTAAAATTTGTGAGCATTATTACTATCAAGCGCCTCCTCTTTAAACCTTAAGACTAAGTAGTGAAGTGATAAACTTTGATCAATAATGTTGCATAATTTTCGATTCTTGGCCTTTTGCAAATATTCCTCAAATACTTGAGTAGATTCAGGAACAGAAGATCTGATACCAAAATCGCTCAGTGATAACTTTTTTTGTAGTAATACTGCTTGCTAAAACGAATTTTTTCCAGTAACATATTTTTTCTGTTGGCGAGGGTTCTTCACTACGGCGGTGTAGCCACATTAAAAATGCCACTGCGTGTTTGCAACCACCTTGAGAAGACGCACAATCAGAGCACTGGATTTTCACAACAGTACTATTTTTCTCATCAATAATGCCCTCTACATTATAACTTTTGGATTTTACTTTATGTTCTGGGGGTACTTTGCATTTTAAACAACAGGTGTTATTTGTCCTTTTTACTTGGACGTAACCCACGGCATTGTCTCCGTATTCCTTTCGCCCAGATCTTAAAAATAAAAAAAACAATCTATACTTATCTGATTACAAATTTTATGACATTTGTATATTACAGAGCAAGTGTAGTACTAAGTGTATTACTTACCTCTGCAGCTTAATTCCTCTCATTTCTGCACTAATAAAGTCTTTGTTACAGTTAAAATACTCCATAACCATTATAACGTCTATTACCGGCAAATTGGTCGAATCAGCTATTGTAGTCTTTTTCAAGTGAAAAACTCATTGTTTAAATTAACTAACACACATACACGTCCACACCCGAGATCAGTAGCCGTACTAAGCGACAAGCGTGGTCTCTTGGAAAACAAAATCAGTGCTGTCGCATAGGCACGGGCGGGCGAAGGAAGTGTTGACGTCACGCAGTCCCAGCCGGGTCTCGCTATGTCGTCAATTTATGATCGCAATATTTTTTTTAATGTATATTTCTTGTGGTACACGTATTGTTAACATATTTATTACATATTTTTAATAAAAACAGGGAAAAATAAAATTTCGTGAATGAGCCTATTATCGGACAAGAACATCAAATCATACCTGAAAGCAGCTTGCCTTGCTGCAATACTGGGGCATTTTAGAAGATCTACCAAAGCACTCACTAACTGGTTACTTATAGCAGCCACCTGTTGCAAATTACTGTCTACTTCAGTTAAATAAGCTAGAGTATCAGCTGCTAAGGCTCTATGAGCTTCTAAATGTTCCACCTACAAAATATTAAACATTAAACGCTAAAAGATATAAATTAATAAGTTAGTTGATTATACCTGACAAAGTCGAACAAGACAAGGAAGAGTACGATAGGTTATAATGGGATCATATGGAGGTATTGCACCTGCTCGATGAAGATTTGTAAGACATCTAGCAGCTTCCAGTTGCATTTCAACAGGTCTATCCCTAGATATTAAAGTAGCCAGATAGTTAGGAATCTTAATATCCTTGCATGATGTGTTAACTATTTCATTAGCAACCACTTGGTTGTTCCAACACATTGATGCTAAGCATGTAACAACTGGAATTCTAACAGAACAATTTTGAACTGTTAATAAAGAAGCCAGAATAGCTGGAGCACCAACCGAACATAGAGCATTTTGCTCGGCAGGTCTTTTACATGCAGAACTTATAATACTAGCTACGCACGACTGACGTTGTAGACTTTCTTTCGGTCCAGCAAAGCTAAGAAGTTTTTGTAGATTATTGAGAGAGTATTTTGTATTACAACTGTAACTTTGTTGTGACAAGGTGCGTAAACAACATAAACAAGCATCTATGAGTCCTGGTTCATTTTCTTCTAAAACATCTAAAAGTACTTCAACAGATCCTGAATTTATAAGCAGCTCGATGTGATCTTCGGTGCCTTTCGCTAAAGATCCAATTGTAACAGCAGCTTCTACTCTTACTGCTACTTTAGCATTTCTGTCTTTCAAGAGATATATTAATCGCGGGACAATACCTTGAGCTATAACACTTTCTTTTTGGCGATTTGACCCAATCACAGAGTTCTTTATGCATATAATAGACGCTAAGCACTTATTTGGATCTTGTGAATATAAATTATCGATGTAAGAACGAGTACTTTCTACATTCTTAAAAAGACAAATTCAGTTATTATTAAGTCAAGTTTTAGGTTAAGAGTCTTACCATAAAAGCGGTAAACGGCTGCATCTCAAACAGCATTATACAAATGTATAATCAAAATAATAAAATAAATAACAAATAAGAATTATTCGCTTATCGCAATTTGTTTGTTGGTTTTTAGGTGATACTTTTGTAATGATTTACGTTTTTTCTTGACAAGTTGACAATAACTACGACTATTGCACTGCGTGTTGCCTATCCTATATCCTATCTCTTCTTTACTCTATTGCACAGTATACTAATCCGTTCAGTGCGAACAGCCGAGCTGAGCGGACGTGTTTGTTTGTGAGGTGAAGTGATTGCAACGAGCAAAATCTACCTGCCTTTATTAAGGCTACCTGGAAAGAATCCCTTTCTTTCCTTTTAATCACCGACCTAATCCCCGGCTAAGCATAGAGGCCGTCGGCATCTTTGTTCAGGTACCTGTCCCGGGGTTATGCCCAGGTAAGTTTTAACTTATTTATCAGTTATTTGCATTACTTTAAAATACATTTCTTTAAAATTGCGACCCCCGACAAACAATATACCAGACAGACAAATACACCAAAAGACACGTACGCCCCCGT